TTGTTTTCCCATTATTGAAGACATGCCCCAAAGTTCACTAGAATAACATATAAAACACAAAAGATTGCATTCAGTTGTCCATAATCACAACTTCAAATTTGATAGCGCGGAAGTTCCAATGCCCTTTGCATAATAATATGTTGTGTACTCTTTTAAAGAGACCTCTCGGTATACTGGTGGACTTTCTTCAGATAACAGTTCCTTTATCGGACCATAGACTACTGATTCATCAAATGCTCTAAACAAAGATGCAACAGAAACTCTTGGACCTTTTTTACTTGCTAAAACTCGGTGCTGAACGCTAATGAACTTGTCATTAGTAAGAAGCTGCACAAAAATGCAGAGAAACTGATAATCACAATTCAATTCCTATTTCCCATGCATAAGCTGAGCTACATTTTGGACAGTGTCCATAAGACAGTAAGTAAAAAGAAAGAGTGGTTCTTGCTTGTGGGCAGTGTCTATAAGCACGCTCATTCAAAAGCTTAAGATACACATTAAAATAACAACAAAAAAGAATAAATCCAATGACTACACAGTCCTTGTCATTTCAATATTTTAATGTAAATGTGTGAAAATTTCCGTTTAAATTTCAATGAACAGAACAATATAATTGATTTGTAGCCAACACATATTTCAAACTAATGTGAAAATTTCCGTTCAAATTTCATACTATTTCAAACTTATTGTAACACATTCATATTAACATGGTTAACTATGATGCGGTACATGTGCTTAGCCTCAAAAAAGTTATTTATGAAGTTGTATGAACATGCTATATTTATGCATGATGATTTCACCTGCAAAAGATCCCCGACGTTTATTACAAGGGCTCCATGGATGGGAATTACATCAACCCAATGATTATCATGAAGAACTTGAAGACCACCCATCTGGTCTTGCAGAAGTATTGTCATAAAGGCATTGTCTGTGTGCTTGCTAGTGCCTATAGTTAATTCAGGCTCAGGGCATGGAGGGTAATAGTGACATAGAAGAATAAATCCTTCAGCACAACCCATATCTTTAAGGTGAGATCGATTAAGGCCTAGAGCTTCTGATAGTAACTCAAATAATGTAGAAGCAAAAGCCTTTACTTTCTTCGAGTATTCAACAACAATATCTCTGCAGGTATATATATTATCAACCCATCAAGGATAGAGAAGTTACAAATTAGAGGGTTAACTATAAATGAATTTCATTAAGTTGTACAAAGTGAAACTTTCAGAGACGAAACATAAACATAATGCTACTTGTACAAATCAAATTGTATATTTACTCAGAAAAATGGAATGAGGACATCACATCCAAATCTGATGAAAATTTTCTACAAAAAAAATAAATAAGTGTAAAGCAAATACTCTTACAAAGGCAATGACACGAGGATTAAGGAGTAACAGATTAGCTTTATTCACAAAACGAAAATTGCAATGTAGCACATGGATGTCATTACCATACAGAAATTATCAAAATTATCCTAAGAAACTAGTAAATTGTTACGTTCAAGTTCCAGCACGTCAAAGAAATAATGCAAAAGATAGTATTATCAAAAACCTGCAAACTGTTGGCAATTCTTGTGCTTCTGGTGGACGAGGTGCCATCAAACAACCAAGTGTGTCCTTCCAAACAGCAGCAGGTTCATGGTAAAGACTATAATTGGAAACATAAGCAACTCTCCTGCCAGGATCACGGGTGTAGTACTCTTTCCTCACATTGGCATCTTGTTGGTGAAACCTGCAATTTCCTTTGATCATCTCCTCCAAAACATCAATTGGAATTTCGTGATTTATAACCTGAAAGAACCCCCACTTTTCACATGCATATCTAACTTTTTCCACAACATCATTTCTCAAAATTGGATCATCATGGATGCCTGTGAGGTCAATGATGGGGATGCTAATTTTTGGACTTGATTCACTAGTTGACCCATCATTAAGAGAAGAGTGTTCACAATAGAACATAGGTGGAACCTTTGTCACACCATTTTCTACAAGTCCTTGTACACCAGCCTTTGAATCATCAAATGCCTTGAGTTCACTTAATCTATCATAATTGTAAGCAGTTCCTGCTTCCAACTCTTCTATGCTTGTGACCACCATATTTTGAGGCTATATGGGCATCAATTCTGTGATGAAAGTAACTAGAAGGATTGGTTCAAAACAGAGGGGAGAATGAAAACGCTTTGGTTTCAATTTCGGTTTTCCACAAGAGTTGAATAAACTGAGGCATTTTTTTTTCCCTCTCGATGTAAGACAACTAAATTGTTGTCATGTTGTGACAACTTGGATATAATAAAGAAACAACATACGAAGTTTTAGTTGTTATGTGATTAGTAAAAGCGTGGCAATCTTAAGAATGGATCACCACAATGAATAATAAACGTCGGTTAAGGATTATTTAATTTGAATAATTGAGTAAGATTTTTAAATAACTTTATCAGGTATGAGGTAGGTTGAGCACATTGAGCTAAACAAAAATGTATTTTTTTTACGATTGTCTAATGTTTAACAAGAACTTATCAATTCCCATTGCTTTACGTTAGGTGGGAACTAGGGAGAGGGGGATCTTGAAGACGTTGTTTAACGATTATCATAAAAAAAAAAAAAAAAGGTCCATGATTAGGAGTTACCAATTAGAAAAAGAAAAACTTTACATTTGTTCTTACGACCAAGCAACCGGAAGAAAAATAGCCAGACAAGAAGTGTTGGTTTTCTTCAAATTTTTTATTTTTAATCATAGTAGTCTTTCTCTGATTGTTATCGTCTTTGTATCGTAATCTAAAATTAAATATTAATTTTATTATTAAATTTTAATGTAAAATGAATTAATCATTTTAATTTAAAATAAATAAGCTTAAATAAGGCTTTATTTCCCTAAAAATTCACCATTTTTTCTTTTGATCCCTCCTTGTTAATTTTTCCCCAAATAAATCTCTCCATAAATCATTTTTCTTAGTAATTTATTAATTTTTTTAATATTTATTTATATAACATCTAATTTAATTCATATTCATGTTATAAAATTTATATAAATGATGATATGATATTTATATTCTCATTTATTTTATATTTTTTAATTTTAATTTCATAAGTTTTAATTTTATGACTTAAAATTACATTCAAAACTCCAAAATAACATTAGGATATATATCTCTTTCATGTTACGCTTTAATCAAATGATACGAGACAACTCAGACGTTATGCAAACAAGTAACGAAATATGTTAATAAAATTACTAATAATGAGACTAGATGAAAATAGAAAATAGTTTTAAAAGAATTAAATTGAAAATAATAAAAGACAATTACCATTGAATTTTAAAGAGTCGTTATAAAAATAAAAAATCACTCATGTTAAATGATAATTATTTAAAAAAAATCTATAAAATAAATGAGGCTTATTATAAAATTGGGGTCTATTACAAAAAGGTGTTTAAGTTGTCTTTTGGTTCCAAGGCTCTGGTTGATGTTTCAATTATAAAGGTACAATTTTTTAAATTATTTTTAAAAGATAACGTTATCTAACGTTTTACCGATAATGAACACGTGCATCAATCGATAAATAGTTGCTTTAATTTAATTTGTAATCTTAAATTTGAATTTTGATAAATCTAGTGGTGCGATATAATTAGAAAGAAAATTTTGTCATTTGATCCTATCAAACTCAAATAAATAAATACTTTTAATCTAAAGAACAAGTTTGACCATTTTTTAATAGTATTTTAAAAAAATTACCAATAAAATTGTTCTTGCTCTTAATTTTTAAATTCACCACTAGTAAGAAAATGAACATGTGATAACTTCTTATAATCACGCCATCATTAGAAATTAAAAGTATTAGATTTAAAAAAAATAAAAAACCAAAATAATAAAATCAAATTTAAATTTAAAATCTATAAAAATATAAGAATAAAAACACATTTAAGCTGCAAAACTTTCATGCTATAAAAAATTATTTAATTATTATATGAAATGAATATTAAAAGGAATCAGTTCAATATATAAATATTTAAATTAATTTTTTAATGTCTCCTTTTTTCAGTTTCTCAATAGAAAAATTAATTATACTTTTCATCTATATACGTTAATCTTAATTTTTTTTTATTTTAATTATACTTCTAACTTTTTAAATGTTTATATTAAGTTTTTTATCTCAAAATATAAATTAATAATAATATAGTTGAGATATGATATCTTATTAATTTATGCAAATGAACAAAAAATATTATATGAAGTGTATAAAATATAATAGAAATATAAAATTTTATATTAGATAACTTAATTTAAATATATAAAAAATTACATTATTTTTATAATGGGCACTAGTTTGATCGGCACTTATATCTCAGTGCTTTTACAGGTAAGATTGGAGTTTGAGAGTGACTTTTTTGGCCAAGAATTGCAAGAACGAGGGATGTGAAAAATCAGAGTGTTGCGTTGAAATGTACAGAGCAAAACACAAAAAATGTTTTGTTGAAATCTGATTTCCTATCTTCTGTTAATGTTTTATTTCTCGTTCACTATGTTTATATATGATTTTTGTTTCACCGATTATAATTCTGAAGCTTTATATTTTAAAATTGAATTTCCTTAGTGGTGCCCCGTGTATTATATGAACATTTGCATTTTATCATTCTTAATGTACTTACAAAAAATAAAGTGATTTGTTTAGTTATTTAGACAAACAAACTTTAAAATTTGGATTTATTTGAAAATATGAAAATTGAACTTGAACTTGAATTGATTAACTAGTTTACAATTTGATCTCCTTTTAATTTTCATTTTATTATTTACTATTTTGTAGACATTCTTAATTTAGTAGATGAAGCAAAACAATAACATTAGCACCATCATCAACATATCATTTTCTAATGTATAATCTTACATTAGAATATCCCTACCATAGAAGAAAAATTCTTTTATTTAATTTACACCCTCAAGACTATTCAAATGCATGCTACAATGCTTCTTCTCAAGTTTTATACTGATATTTGAGTTGAACACTTAATTTATAAAATTAAAAATCAAGATGCATTTAATTATAGTCTTAACAGATAAAATATAACTTGGTTTTCAGTTCTTGAAGGCACGTACCCGAGTTTAGTAGAAATGAAATAAGCCACAACTCATTCTAAAAACATCAAAGTGTTTCATGCAATTGTTCATAATCACAACTTGAATGGGGTTAGTGAGGAACTTCCAAGGCCCTTTGTATATTGATGTGCTAAGAAGTCTTTTAAGGAAGTTTCTCTGTACACTGGTGGAGTGTCTTCAGATAATAGTTCCTTGATTGGACCATAGACTTTTGGCATACCCTCTGGTGATTGGACATCAGTTCTAAAAATAGATGCAACAGAAATTCTTGGGCCTTGATAGTTAGCTAAAACTCTATGCTGAACACTAATAAACTTGTCATTAGTCACTAGCTGCACACAAAAAAAAAATTAAATTGATCATCACAATTCAATTCCGATTTAACATGTCTTTTTACTTTATATATACAAATACACCATTTTAAACTAAAACAAACACACATTCTCTTTGGTCTAAAATACAGTCCCCTATAGTTAATCACGATGTTGTCCATTATGCATAGCTAAAGAAAATTATATATGATGTTGAATGAAAATGTTATTATTATAAATGATCAACTAACCTGCAAAAGATCCCCAATGTTTACTATAAGGGATCCATGAATTGGTGGTACATCAATCCATTGATTTTCATGAAGAAATTGAAGGCCACCCATCTGGTCTTGCAAAAGTATTGTCATGAAGTCACCATCTGGATGCGTAGTAGTGCCTATAGTTAATTCTGGCTCAGGGCATGCTGGATAGTAGTGACAAAGAAGAGTAAGACCTTCATCACAACCCATTTCTTTAAGGTGAAAGCGATTAATGCCAAGAGCTTCTGACAGTAACTCAAACAAAGAAGAAGCAAGTGCCATCACTTTTGTTGAGTATTCAATCACAATATCTCTGCAAATATATACTATGTCAACTAATTAAAGATAGAGAAGTTTCAATTTAGAGGCTCATGCCAAGCATTTCTTATATGACCAGACTACTTATAAGCATAACTAACTAAAAACTTGGTATACAACTATACATTAAAATAATAATAAAATCTATGTTGAAGATGTTTAAATATTCCTTATACTCATGCAAGAATTGCTTAGGTTTGTAATTTCAAGAGAAGTAAAAGAAAAAGGAAAATTACATCTAAAAGACTAAAATCTCAAGAAGATTTTCTATAATAAATGGGCAGAACAGCAAGACACCTACCAGGGCAATGACATGAGGATTAGGGAAAAAATAGTTATAGATTTTTACCAATGAAAAACTATTAACAAACCCTTAAGATAGTCACCAAAATTGTTTGAATTTTTTATTTTTGTCACTAAAATTTTAAAAATCTCTTGTTAGCATTTGACTGTGCAAAATGATATTTAATTAATTTATTTTTAATTCAAAAGATAACAAAAATAAAATATCCAAAGGCTAATGTTAAAACTAGAATCACAAACCTACAAACAGCTGGCAATTTTTCAGCTTCGAGTGGATTAGGTGCCAAGAAAAATGCAAGTGTATCCCTCCAATCAGCAGATGGGTTCTGATAAAGACTAAAGTTGGAAAAATAAATAATTTTCTTGCTGAAATCGCGGGTGTAGTACTCTTTCCTCACACATGCATCTTGTTGGTGAAATCTGCAAGTTCCTTTGATCATCTCATCCAGAACATGAGTTGGAATTCCATGATTTATAACTTGAAAGAACCCCCATTTTTCACATGCATTTCTAACTTTTTTCACAACATCATTTCTCAAAGTTGAATCATCATGGATACCTGTGAGGTCAATTATGGGAATGCCAATCTTCGAATTTGATTCATTGTTAAAGCCATCACTGAGATTAGACTCTTCATAGTAGAACATACGTGGAACTTTGGTGACACCATTTTCTACAAGTCCTTGGACACCAACCTTTGAATCATCAAATGCCTTCACTTCACTTTCCCTATCATAACTAGAAATAGTTCCTGCCTCCAACCCATGTGTGCTTGTTGCCACCATGTTTTGAGGCTATCAATGCTTTCAAAACTTTAACCAAAATAAGAAAGCTTCAAAACAAAGGGATTGAAGAGGAGTAGATTGAATGAAGAGAATAGATTAATGTTTCCTTTTCGGTTTTTCATTCAAGGTGAATGAACTAGATGCATCCTTGTTCGTTTCCTAGATGTTTGCTTTGCATATAGGACAAATATAAATTATTGAAACCACTTGATTCAATAAAGTGAATACGTAGGAAGCATTTATTATTTGAACCTTGTTCAAGCATCTACTATATATTATTTATCTAAATAAAATACTAGAGTATGTTTGGAATCAAATATCATAAAAAAAAATTAATTTTTTCATAAATGAAATGTTTTAAAGTATGATATGATTTGAAAATTCATTCTGGGAGAATGAACCTACATGATGGCCGACAATAGAAGGTGAAATTAAAAGACCAGTAATCATTTTTTATTATCAGTAGTCCCTTGTGTCATGCTTTCAATTTTTATACATTTTATAATTCGTGAGATGTATGCTGTTCTTCTTCTAAGATTTATATTTCTTTCTTTTTTACGTGCAATTTCAGAACTTTAAATTCCGGTAGTGTAAAACTGTTTCTATATGATTTTACAAATTTGAAACTTCATGTTTTGAATTTTTTTTTTTTTTTCTAAAACTTGAAATTACAAAAGTGTAATTATAGTTTCAGAAACCTAAGTTTCAAAAGTAAAAAACAATTGCAATAACAAAATTTAAAGGTCCAGAATAGTAAAAATTACATAGATCATATATATATATATATATATATATATATATATATATATATATAATACTAAGTATAAATCTTTTAAAAAAATTTCTTTTTTACACGTTTATATTTTATGACTTTAGTCAAACAAAATGTAATTTTTTAACTGTTAAATTATTGATTTGTGTGGTTGAGATTTAGTCTAGTAAGATAATTAAATCCTAAAATCAAAACAAGGATCAGTGGCAAAATTACTCTATCCTTTTCTTAATATCATATGAATTTCATGTCTCAATATATTTGCTTGCAATTATTTAAATTAGGTATCAGCCACTCCTCCAGAAGTGAACTACCTCTCCTTTAAGCAATTAACCCTAACCTAACCCATAAATATTTTTTTTATATTAGGGCCTAGATCTAAACTTCACCTACTACCTGCATGGCTTTCAAATATTAATGAGTTATATATAGAAAAATATGAAAGTTTAATTTTGTTAAATTTTTAAGTTAAGTAATTTATATATTTTAAGAGTAATAAACAAATTAATATATAATACAACATAAATTTAATTATTTTTCATATGTTCTAAACTTCTTTTTTATTTCATAACAATATAAATATATATATATATATATATATATATATATATATATATATATATATAGAAATTACCAAAGAAGTCAAAACAAATTAGTAACATTGAAATTGGTTTCTAAATTAAATTGACTAATCAAATAAATCAAATCACTTCAGATTAACAGGCTTTAATAGTTAAGGATCTAATCTAGGACCTCAACCTGATAGCTTGAAATTAAAACCCATTCTCTCCTCGTTAACGTGAAGAATCTTTACTATATTTTTTTAATAATTGGGTTGTAATATTTAAAACCTTGGTATCAGGTATACATACTTCAAAGTCTAAACTTTAACAAGTGGACGCATGGAAAGTGGCTAAAATGCATTCTTTAATGATGATCCATAACTTTTAATCTATCATGCTCAATTAACCTAGTACTCTCGTTAGTATAAAATTTATCTTAAACGAAACGAATAAAATAATTAAGATGAAAATATCTTATCTTATTGTTAACAAATATTATTAAAATAAAAAAGTATAATTTATCATATCATTAATCTGACTATCAAATAAAACGTACATATGTAGGAGGGGACTAAGGCAGGTCTTAAATATTCCCAGTTATTCTTCCTTTTGTGATGTTGTTTGTCCACTATTAACAAAAACTAGATGTCAAAACATGGGACTTACAAAATTTATTTCAAATAATTATATAATAATTTTTAGAAACAAACTTAGAGACTTTATCTAATTAAAAAACAATTAAGATAAATGTCTTGGCTATTAATAAGGTTTCATGATTTAATAATTAATATATATATATATATATATATATGTTATAAAACTGATACACTAATGGTTTCAAGAATTGTGTCAAATACAATCTTTATATATTTTTTGTTTGTAAAAACTATTACAAATTATAAAATTATAATAATAATAGTATCAAAATAGTAGATTAAAAAAATTAACTATAAGTATATTACTTCTTTATCAAATATTGTTATATTCTATTAAAATAAGAATAAAATACATGGATTTAATTCAAAAGCTACAACTAATTATTGAAATGTAAATTCAAACGTACACTTAATAAATGATTGAAGTCACGTTTAATTAATTACGTATTCACATTTATTTCAATAATATTAGTTATAACTTATGTATTAACATGATTTAAAAAATGTTCAAATGCAAGTACACGCGTGCTATTACATATTAGATTTTCTTCCTTTTTTATGTTATGAATTTGTTTTATTTTAAAAATAATTTTCAATGATTTTATAAATAAGAATATTTTCTTCTACTATAAATGTGGTAATATATAAACTAAATGAACTATTTAATTATTAAGCATGTCAATATTAAAAAAATTATCATTGAATTATATTATTATAATAATTATTGATAATTTTATATAAATAAATAAAATCCATGTGTTCATTTTTTTAAAATTATATTTTTATATGTAACATGTAAAGAAAGTTGACTTGAAAGATTTTAACTATTTTGAAAAGAAAAATTAAAATAAAGTAAGCTTAAAAGGAATAAAAAAAATGAAAAAGTAGTGTGTAAACAGGCATAATAGAGCCCGTTGATGGAAAAATTATTGGATGTTAACCACATATTTACAGTCTTAGTTAGTTATTATATGACACGTGATTATATTTTATAATTAATAAATAAAAGTACTAAAACTTTGTCATATATCGTATAAAAATATTCTAACAATACATTTTTTTTTAAAATACACTTTTATAGCACATTCTCAGATTTCAATTTTGTAAGCCAAATGAAAGGTAAACATTTTTTTCAATTTGAAAAAGTTTGAAAACCCAATTTATATTAGCTTGAATTAAGACAAGCTTATTTTGTCACCCCTAAAATTGAGAAACTCGAATCAAAATAGAAGAATAATTGAGCCATCAAATCATCCATTTGAGAATTGATCACCCACTTGCTAATTTAACCCAGCACACAACTACATTCACAAACCACATACATTAACCATCAAAGATACCCAAGTTTTTAAGCCATTGTTCTCTTGTGCAGATCATATATAGTTTACAGCACATTACACAACTATATAATACATATATCATAACAATGGCTAATTATTCACCAATTAACTCTTAGAAAGAGCAAGGAAGAAAATGTCATCAAGCCTGTCATTACTAGGAGAGTTGCCACCATACACCAGCAATCCCTCACGGCCATCATGGGAAGCTCCGGCGAAAGCACACCACCCACGGGCCCCGGGATGGCGACCTGAGTCCACCTGATCATCTTCTAACCTTTTCCATGTTAGTGTCTCTGTGTCTAATGCATAAACCTCACCTGAAAATTGACCAGCACCCAAGTGACCTTGGTCACTAGGATCAATTTCCCCACCATACACAACTATGTGTTTCCCATTACTAAGAGTGCAAAACACACTACGTGCCGTAGGTTTCTGTCCACTTGTTTCAACCTGGACCCATGTCTTTTGGGCCAGATCAAAACGATGAACATCATCCATTTCCTCCCCAGAGAAACCATACACAACCCATATTTTTCCTTGGGCCACTGCCAGGCCCGGCCCACCTCTCCCCTTGCAATTTTCACCAGGAGAAGGAAACTCAACCCACTTGCCCTCAACAACATCATAGGCCCACAAATCATTGAGCCTTCCAGCAACCCCACAGCCACCAAATACATACACATGTCGGTCATCGGCGATCATGGAGTGGTAGCTCCGGTGAGGAGGCCCAATACCCTCACTTGAGATCAAGGCCCATTTATTAGTGACTGTATCAAAAGAGTAGAGCTCATTCAGCTCTTGATGTTCAGCATCCCTTCCACCAAATACATAGATGGTTTCTCCTACTACAGCCATTGTAACACCGACACGTGGCGGCGGTGTATCCCCTGATGCATCTGCCACCGACCATGTCAGAGCCTCTAGGTCGAACACGTGGAGCTTGTTATCAACTGGAACACGTGGCACGAATTCGCCTCCAAATGCATACAGCTTCTGTCCTACTATGGCTATGGCATGTGAACTTCTCGCTCCCAGCCCTGTTCCTCCTTGATCAAGCTGATGTAAGATTCAAAAGTTTCTGTTTAATTAGGTTTAAATCTAAAAAATATATTTTTAATTTTTTAAAAACGGAAAAAAGAGTAGTTTTTTTTCTGAGATAAATTGATTTAAACATAGACTAAACCTCGAAATTGATTTATCAAAATTTTGTTGACAGATATTATGAATTTTGACAAAATTTTGTTCTGATTCTTAAAATTTGTAAATGTTGATCAAGTTGGTCTTTGACAGAGGATAATGTGTTCGGTGTGGTTCTAATGATCTAGAATAAAGTATTTGAGATTATTGTTGTGAGATTTATTTGAGAATTAGTGTATCTTTACAAATCTACTAAAATCACGTTAAATTGTAGCATTAAAATCACTGTTTATAGTATTAAAATTGATCTACGGGCGAGTAAATTTAACATCAGTCCAAACACACCGTTATTTGGATCGGAAGTCCAGGTATGATTCAAGTACTTTTCATTGAAAACTTAACTTTGGCATGAAATCTTCATCCTAATAGCAAGCCTCAATCACCTATAATCATAGTTAAAGCACAGAGGAATCCTGAACCCCCAATTTTTCATTTCAACTTCTCTCCAACCCTTGAGAGCAATTTCTTCCGGAATTTTGTTCACCATGGATGTGAGAAAATCATTTTCTCTAAATATGACTATTGCAAGGACTTGCGCTCTGAGAAAATGATTGCAATTGGAAAACACCAAGGAAAAGAAATTGCAGGGATGGAGAAATTAAAAAGGGTAAAAAATATAGTGCTTCGTCAAACATGATTTCATATTAACTTGATACCTATGATCTATATATACAAGCATAATAACAATAATAAAGATGATAAAATAGGGATATTAGAAATGAAGGAACAGAGAACAAACCTTGACCCAGTTGCCATGCACTACCGCCATTGCTGGAATCTACACCCAAAGTGGGATAGCCACTATGTTTCTGATACGTGTTGGGAATTTCGCCTTATATATAGAAGTGATTGGTTAGTACTTAGTTCAATATTTATTGCTCATTAACCTATTCTAACATAAGAAAAGAAACAGGTGGGTGATGAAGAAGATAAAGAAAGAGAATATATGATAACAAACGATGATGATGAGGTGGTTTTACTGTTTTTCTTATAAAATATAATTATTGTATTTTCTGAGTTTGTTCGTCGAGAAAAAGGACAAAAACAATAAGTACAAAATGTTAATAAGTTCTGAAAGGCGTTGACAGCAGTGTGGTCCCCTATTTTGGCACGGAAATTGCAGCTATTATAATGTGTCAAAATCATTTTTTATAACTTTTACTTCCAGTATGTTAATTTTTTATATTGTAAATATTTTGGTGTTAAATGTAGTAAGCTATAATAGTCATCAATTAAATAAAATTAATTTGAGTTGGATTTATTCAAGGCAGAAGACTTTTTTATCTTTTTTTTTCAAAGTAAAACTTTATTTAAGAGAAATTAAATTTATTTTCATTTAAATTAAGTTGTATTCATTGTTTAAACGATAGCCTATATTATATGAGTGAGGTTTGTAATAGTTAAGATTAAAAGATAAATTTTTATATTTTAAAAGAAATGTGTCTCATCAAACTTTTCAAAAATGAATTTTAGAGTTTATTCTTATTTTAAGAAATGGTTAACCTGGGTGGATACCTACTGGTTTAGGTGTTTTGCAATTATAAATATGATCTTAGTTGTAATATTAAATTTTGATCTATGTATGAAAAAATTTTGATTCCCTTAAAAGGCCTAGATCACGCCTTGATGATGTAATATCAAGTTGAATTGTCACAATAGGCCCAAATATTAGTTTAAATTAAGTGTCACAAGCTCACAATCCACTAATTGCTTTTTTTCAAGCGATTGCTTTCATTCAAGACTTCAAGTAGTTCTTTTAATGTGAGCTTATTGATATTAATTAAGGAAATGCTTTTAATTACTTAAAAAATAAGCACATATGAGTTTGATATTTTAATATAATATATATTTTTTTTAATCAACTTCAATAAACACACATTAGAAAAGTTGCAGTGGTTAACTACTCTTGTCCATATTTTATAAAGGCTGTAGATTCGGCGAGTTTTAGCTAAATAATTGAAAGTCTTCAATAATATTACGGTTTCAAGCATATAAGAAAGCATTTGTAGAAAGAGATTATTACAAGATACACCCACGAAGTGTGGTTCAGATGACAATATGGCTGAGTTTGCATGAACAGCTAAGGGTTTGATCCCAACTAAGCACACTCACAGAAAGGGGTGAAGCGCCGTAACTGTGTTTAAACTCCGAGTTTAAAACAGTTGCTTACTAACATGATGAGCAAATACAAAATACTATTACCATAACAATAATTAAGTCTTATCTCACTAAGCAATGTGAGATACAAAATACTATAAAGAAAAGAAGGTTACAAAATACTAGGAAAAAAAGTCTACTATACAAGGGTCGCGAATCTGATAGGTTCAAATGGACCAAAAGTGTATACATTAAAAGATCAACGATATTGAATGATGGATTAGTGATGAACATGTAATTTAGGGATCTACTGCAAAGGATAACTTTAGACTGCTGACAGAGACAGCATATGTATATAGATTCAGTCTGGTATATGTCTAAAGTAATGGTCTCGTAAACTTATCTTTCAGCATCATTGTCATTGGAGTAAATTTTAGTTCTGTATGACAGGGAACCCACCTTTGTGCTACAGAACCACAATCGAAAACTTGGATGCATTTAATGCAAATTAACAACAAAAGCAAACAACATAAGTAGCTGAGCCACAACACTTTTATTTTTTTTGTTGTGTCCTGTACATTGTTTGGTGATTAATGTGCATAGTAATTTTAGAACTAGCTAGTGTGGATGAGGTTGTACAGTCTTATACTGGTTGCACTCATTCATTGAATTAAACCCGTCAGTTTAATAGTACCAATACAGAGAGAGGATATCCAAGATTTTTTATTTTCTGTCAACACTTTCTCCTTAAATCTTCCCAATTTTTGGTACAAATGTTATTCTATAACATCTATGAGAAGTGGTCTTTCTGGTTGAAAGCTAAAGGATGCAGTGTTAAGATACATCCATTTGATGTGAAAAAATGTAGTACCAAACATGCGCTTAAAATACATAAAATAGCTGAAGAGAGTATACCAAAAAAAATCTGTACTAGTTATCAAGCACAAAGTTCAGCTAGTCTTCCTGAACTGCTTATTGCATAAAAGTCAAGTTCTGTCACATGATAAAAAGTTGTATTGAGCAATTCTTAACAGAAATTATGTTATTGTAGCACAAGAGGCTTAAAAGAGAAAGGGATTGAAGAGTCAAGGTTACAGCGGTCAATAACCAATTAACCATCACTTCATATCTAAGCCAATAAAAAAGCCCCCAAGAAATTGTGTTTTTTCTCGCCAATTGAAGTTCATAATGGAATTACAAGACCATAAACCCAAAAGGCAGCAATAAAGAGTATCAACCTATTAGTATAACTTCATTCAAAACTAACCGCTTCAACTTTCAACTAGGACTAAAAGGACAGAAGAACAGGAGTAACATCAAGGAAAGTGGAAACATTGCCACAAACAATCTTAAAACTCCAAGCACAAATTCCAGTTTCAGATATGCCATAAAAAAGGTTTCAATGATCCCACTAATCATAACACCAAAACATTCACATTTTATAAGATCAGTTCATCCCAAAAAGACAACCACACTTGACAGGATAACAACCTCAACAAATCATAGGTTTGCTATCAAAGGCTTCTCTTCCTTCTATTAAAGTCTCTTTCCAAGAATATTCTCCTACTAAACAAATGAATTCCCCCATGATTTCCAAAATGTTGGACTATTTGGTTCCTTCCATTGTTTTCTACTTATTCCTTATGTTTGCTTTTGGCTTTCATTTTATTCTTCTTCATCTTCATTACTATCTCATCACTTAAACATCTTCTCTCCTTTTTTTTTCTTACTGATTTGTCTCTCTTCTTCCCTATTCCAAATGAATGTAATATTCCCATCAATAAATCAAGTCTGTTTGTCTGCTGCTTTCATGGGCACAATTTTCCTCAATGGTGTCAATTTTCATTTGAATTGAGTGTTTTATCCATAGCATGTTTTTTCTTTCTCTCTTGCTTTCCCTTAGATGTCTCCAGCTCAAAACTGCTTACCAAATTGTTTCTGTCAAATCTTAAACCGTTTTCTTCTCGGCTTTTAAAATATATGTTAGAATTGGATATTAAAATGTAAGTAATTCATTTTATTAAAACTTTTTTCCTTATTAGCATCTTTCCCCACGTTCACTTGTGTTTAAAAAACTTAGACTTTTGTCATTTTATTCAGTTGGTGAAGTTATGAAAATCAGTGAACAGGATAGATAACCCATGTTGTAAAGATGGGAATGTCTATCGTCACACCTATAAAATTTGTTGTCACTCTTATTTAAGAAATTTTTGTTTAAAATAACCTTACTATTAATTTTATTAACCAAGTTGAAAAGGATATTTTAGACAAAATTATTTGAATATATAAATCATAATAGACATTTTAGAGTGGCAATTTACACACCATCTAACCAAAAGCAGCAATGCCACCTTTCTTAATTTAATTTATACCTTGAAGAATATTCAAGTGTTGTTTACTATTTATATTTGTATAAATAGAACTAAAAAGCATAATTATTTAAGAAATCAAGATACACAATCATTTTCTGAAGACGAAACCGATAAATTTTTCAAAGAAACCATGCAATATGTCTTGTTTTCCCATTATTGAAGACGTGCCCCAAAGTTCACTAGAATAACGTAAAAAACACATATAGTTGTTCATAATCACAACTTCAAATTTGATAGCGCGGAAGTTCCAATGCCCTTTGCATAATAATATGTTGTGTACTCTTTTAAAGAGACCTCTCTGTATACTGGTGGACTTTCTTCAGATAACAGTTCCTTTATCGGACCATAGACTACTGATTCATCAAATATTCTAAACAAAGATGCAACAGAAACTCTTGGACCTTTTTTACTTGCTAAAACTCTGTGCTGAACGCTAATGAACTTGTCATTAGTAAGAAGCTGCACAAAAATACAGAGAAACCGATAATCACAATCCAATTCCCATTTCACGTCAGAACCTGAGCTACATTTTGGACAGTGTCCATAAAACAATAAGTAAAAAGAAAGAGTGGTTCTTGCTTGCGGGCAGTGTCTCTAAGCACGCACGCTCATTCAAAAACTTAGGATACATTAAAATAACAAGAAGAAAGAATAAATCCAATGACTACATAGTCCTTGTCATTTCAATATTTTAATGTAAATGTGTGAAAATTTCCGTTTAAATTTCAGTGAATAGAACAATATAATTGATTTGTAGCACCACATATGTCAAACTAATGTGAAAATTTCCGTTCAAATTTCATACTATTTCAAACATATTGTAACACATTCATATTAATATGGTTAACTATGATGCGGTACATTGTGCTTAGCCTCAAAAACGTTATTTTAGTTATGAAGTTGTATGAACATGCTATATTTATGCATGATGATTTCACCTGCAAAAGATCCCCAATGTTTATTACAAGGGCTCCATGGATGGGCATTACATCAACCCAATGATTATCATGAAGAACTTGAAGACCACCCATCTGGTCATGCAGAAGTATTGTCATAAAGTCGCTGTCTGTGTGCTTGCTATTGCCTATAGTTAATTCAGGCTCAGGGCATGGAGGGTAATAGTGACATAGAAGAATAAATCCTTCAGCACAACCCATGTCTTTAAGGTGAAACCGTTTAAGGCCTAGAGCTTCTGATAGTAACTCAAACAATATAGAAGCAAAAGCCTTTACTTTCTTCGAGTATTCAACAACAATATCTCTGCAGGTATAGATATTATCAACCCATCAAGGATAGAGAAGTTACAAATTAGAGGGTTAACTATAAATGAATTTCATTAAATTGTACAAAGTTAATACATTCGAGGAATAAATTGTACAGAGTGAAACTTTCAGAGACTAAACATAACCATAATGCTACTTTCACAAATCAAATTGTTTATTTACTCAAAAAAATGGAATGAGGACATCACATCCAAATCTGATGAAAATTTTCTACAAAAAAAATAAATAAGTGTAAAGCAAATACTCTTACAAAGGCAATGACACGAGGATTAAGGAGTAACAGATTAGCTTTATTCACAAAACGAAAATTGCAATGTAGCACATGGATGTCATTACCATACAGAAATTATCAAAATTATCCTAAAAAACTAGTAAATTGTTACGTTCAAGTTCCAGCACGTCAAAGAAATAATGCAAAAGATAGTATTATCAAAAACCTGCAAACTGTTGGCAATTCTTGTGCTTCTGGTGGATGAGGTGCCATCAAACAACCAAGTGTGTCCTTCCAAACAGCAGCAGGTTCATGGTAAAGACTATAATTGGAAACATAAGCAACTCTCCTGCCAGGATCACGGGTGTAGTACTCTTTCCTCACATTGGCATCTTGTTGGTGAAACCTGCAATTTCCTTTGATCATCTCCTCCAAAACATCAATTGGAATTTCGTGATTTATAACCTGAAAGAACCCCCACTTTTCACATGCATATCTAACTTTTTCCACAACATCATTTCTCAAAATTGGATCATCATGGATGCCTGTGAGGTCAATGATGGGGATGCTAATTTTTGGACTTGATTCACTAGTTGACCCATCATTAAGAGAAGAGTGTTCACAATAGAACATAGGTGGAACTTTTGTCACACCATTTTCTACAAGGCCTTGTACACCAGCCTTTGAATCATCAAATGCCTTGAGTTCACTTAATCTATCATAATTGTAAACAGTTCCTGCTTCCAACTCTTTTATGCTTGTGACCACCATATTTTGAGGCTATATGGGCATCAATTCTGTTATGAACGCAACTAGAAGGATTGGTTCAAAACAGAGGGGAGAATGAAAATGCTTTGGTTTCAATTTCGATTTTCCATAAGAGTAGAATAAACTAGGGCATTTTGTTTTCTCTCGATGTAAGACAACTAAATTGTTGTCATGTTGTGACAACTTATTTAATAAAGAAACAACGTACGAAGTTTTAGTTGTTTGTGATTAGTAAAAGCGTGGCAATCTAAAGAATGGATCACCACAATGAATAATAACTGTAAGTTAAGGATTATTTCATTTGTATAATTGAGTGAAATTTTTAAATCCCTTTATCTGGTTTGATGTAGGTGGAGCACATAGAACTAAACAAAAATGTATTTTTCTATGATTATCTAATGTTTGACAACAACTTGTCAATTCCCATTGCTTTACGTTAGGTGGGAACTAGGGAGTGTGTGTGTGTGTGGGGGGGGGGGGGGGCTGTCTTCAACATATATCCTTCTATGTGACGTTGTTTAACCATGATTGTACCAAAAAAAATTCCATGATTCGGAGTTACTAGCAATTAGAAAAAAATAAATTTACATTTGTTCTTACGACCAACCAAGGAATCAATCTCGAATAAATCCTAGCATAGGTTATTATCTATTTCGAGATGGCTCAATTGTCGTCATGCAATATCGTATAAGGGAAAGACGCACACCCATCACTCGTACAAAACGACAAAATACTTAAACGTCTCATATATAAGAAAGGACTTTTCATAGCTCTTGTACTCATTTTACCATATCTTACCCTAACCCTGAACAACTTCCTCTAACTTGGACGTGAGTGTTTCTTGCAAAAACACCTACCATTAGAGCTCACTCAATACCAAATACCACTGTCAACCAACCACCAAAGATAACCCACACTGGAGGAACTCTATCTTAGCTATTCAATACACATCAAAGGTTAATACTAAAAGTAGAAAGTTTGTATTGAAAAAAATATTTATTACATTAAGAGTATAATAAATATTATCTTTTTTTAATAAAAAAAAATACTATCTTTAAATGCTTAAGATTTAGTTAAAGGTTGAAGTTAACAAAGCCATTAAAAAAACTAACAGATGTTGAGAAAAATATAACACTACATGCCTTCCTCTAGTAATGAGTGAGATAGTGACAAAGCAAAACAAAGTTATTTCCCATTAGATATGTTGCTAATACACAATAGCATTAGATAGTATCGACGAATATTGCAAACTGCTGATTTACTTCTTGAACATGTCAATCAATTAGCCTGTTTCATTTTATGCCTTTAAACAGTAAGTACTAATAACTTCTTTCTTTTAATGTTTTGCTGCACTCTCAGGATTTGTTTAATTGGTGAGTGTTGACATGTATTTGTGGTGAAGAATAAATTCACTTAGTGTGGCTTCTTGTGTATATATATATAATCTACACAAGCAAAGAATTTTTTTAATCTCACCATGTTTTAAGACCACGCAAATTGGTATGAAATTTTAATGCCTCAGTTACAAGACATAAGCGATAACACAAATTTACAGTCCAAGAATAAGATCCATATTTATATGGAGTTTGACAAATGTTATCATTTCTAAATTATCTACTTTATTCATTTATTGTGCTAAATAAACCACCTCATCCAACTCAAATCCTGAAGTTTTGAAGAGATGAGGTCCCATCCAGGCCTTTTGCATTGAAGTAGGCTACATACTCCGCAACTGTGATGCCTCGGTATTTGGGAGGATTATCTTCTGATAATAGTTCTTTTATAGGTCCATAGATCTTTGGTGATGGTGTAAGATGTGAGCTGAAAAAGCATGCAATAGATATTCTAGGACCTATGAGATTTGCAAGAACTCTGTGTTCCACACTCTTGAACCTGTCATTTGTTATAAGCTGCAGTTCAAGAAAAGAATAATAATAAATAGTTATATTATCTTCATTTAAATTCATTTTACATATCTTAAAAATTTACAGAGCTAAAAATTCATACCAGGGTTTTTCTTTTCACCAGGTTAAAATATTATTACAAATTAGATATTGTTTTAGCCTTAGGAGTTCTCCTTTTATTTAATAATATGAATATAATATGATACTCCTAATTCCTAATAGCCATTTGAACATGTAACAGCTATAATAAATCCTACCTTTGTTCTTATTTATCAGTCTAGAGAGAAAAGAAGAATTTTGTTCTTATCTATCTGTCCATATAAAAGTTCAAGACAATATAATTGTTATTCTTCCACTGATGCCCTTTTTGTTCCTTTAAAATATTATTACTATGTGAGCAGTCCAAAAGTCAAAGGTTAATTTCTTCTAACAATTAATTCTAACAATATGACTGGATTCTTTGATCTATGTAATTTCTTCTCTCTCTTGACAGATAAATAGGAACGGCCATAACTTAGACTAGCCATTTTAGTGTGACCATGATAAAATGTATTAGTTTGTGGCAACGAAGTTGCAAATGCAATAAGCATTCAAAATAACTGTTGCGGGAAATTCACACACGCAGAATAAAGAGCAACAGAGAGCTTGCCTGCAGAAAATCACCAATGTTAACCACAAGAGCCCCAGGTACAGGGGGTATATCAATCCATTTGTCCTGGTAAAGAACCTGGAGGCCACCAATATGGTCCTGGAGAAGCACACTGAGGAAACTATCATCAGAATGCTTGGTGGTTCCCAAAGTTAACTCTGGTTCAGGGCATGCAGGGTAGTAATGGCAAAGTGAAAGAAGCCCCTCAGCACAACCCATGTCTTTTAAATGGTCTGGATGCAGCCCAAGAGCTTCTGACAGTAATTCAAAGAGAGAAATTCCCAATTTCATTATATATGTCCCATATTCCAGAAGTATATCCCTACAAAAAGATGCAATCAAAAAGCAATTATATGCAATGCAGTGACAATAGAAAGTTTAACTTTGGATCTTCTTGATTTTTGTAACTTAAATTGCATTGGCTTGTATAGTTGTTTGTCGAACTTTACTTTGTATATCTTGATTCATAACCCTTCATGTACACATGTGGAGACAATTTATAGCCTACTGTGCTACTGGAAAGTTCTTGGAAGAGCAATACACTAAATTATGAGCAACGAATAATTTAGACCTTGAAATTACAAAAATATTATTTTAGTCCTTGAATTTATCAGACAAGTGTTATGTTAGTCCCTGGAATTATAAAATAATATCAATTTAGTTCTGAAATTACAACAATAAAAACTAAAATGACTTCTATTTGATAATTTCAAGGACGAAAATGACATTTTTGTAAAACGATTGATGATTATAATTTTAGGGACTATACATTGATATATTACTAGTTCGAGGAATCTTATTCAGGAATCAGGAACGATGAATTTGCTTTGAGCATAGTAGCTTCATACCAAAAAAAACTCAAAACTAAATATACCTTGATCTAAGGGACCTAAAATTTAAGGCACTATACAAACATGAACTTACCTGCATACTACGGGCAAGTCTTCTGGTTTAGGACCATTAGGAGCCAGTAGACACACAAAAGTGTCCCTCCAATTGAGTGCTGGTGAACTGTACATATCAAAATTGCTATTATACACAAATGGTCTCATCTGATTCCGGGTATAAAGCTCTTTCTTCACCTCGGTAAATTTAATAGATATTTTTGTGTGAATATTTAAATAGAGAGTTTTGTAACTCATAATAATTTTATCTGATTAGAAGAAATTGTTTTTAGAAAAAAATATTTATTGTCTAAAAGAATAAATTTAACTATTTTTTCATTTTTAAAAAGTAAAAAGTGCTTAAAAAAATTATCAACAAATTTGTTCTTATCTCTTAATTTTTAAATTCAGCACTAACAAGAAAATGAACATACGATAATTTCTTATTAATCATGTCATCATTAAAAATTAAAAGTATTAGACTTAAAAAAATCATAGACTAAAATAATAAAAAAAATTATAATCTAAATAATACAAAAATAGAAACACATTTAAGCTGCAAAAATTTCATGCTATAAAAAATTAGTTAATTATTATATGAAATGAATCTCAAAAGGCATAAGCTCATTATATAAATATTTAAATCACATTTTTTTAGTGTGTCCTTTTTCCAGTTTCTCAATAGAAAAATTGAAATTTAACATATACATAATTTTTTAATTCTTTATATGTGTGTGATCTGTCTTTAATTTTTTATGAAATTTTAATTTCAAAAATTCAAAACAAGTGATTTATATCTTATAAGAATACACATGTTATGAAAGTAACTATCAATAATAAAAATACTATTAAATTTTAAACCAAAAAAAAATTGGTTTATACATTTCATGAAGATTTGCAGTTGCACAGTAGAACTGAATATAATTTTGAAGGATTGATTGTCACTAAATTAACTCCATCATGTAAATTACATGAAATTTTTTTAATAATTTAAAACCAAAAATAAAAATATGATTCAAAATAATAATAAAAAAAGGTAGAAACTTTGTAAAGGAAGTCATAGATGTATTTTAAGAAGAAACACTTGTCGTAGAAAAAAGAAACATGAAAAATAAAATAAAATAAAACTAGCGTCGTATATTTTTAGAAGTTAATTATCATTAGCTTTCTTTTAAAAATCACGAATGGCTGATCTTTTCACTTGACTTAGTCTTGTTAAAATAGAAAACGAAAGAATCCATTACTTCCTCTTTTTCCTTTGATTTTACCATCTTTGAACTCCTTTTAACACTTCAAAATTTTGTACACAACTTTCTATTTTGCAATTCACCACAAAGGTAAAATGCTTCTCTCTCCCTCTCTCTCCCCTCTCCAGGCATCATTGCATTTGCTATGCTTTTTCCAATCTCATTTTTCGTTTTCTCTTTGGAATTCTTTTAATTCCTTCCATCTGGTATTCTTTCGAAACAATTTTGAATGAAAAAGAAAAATAATAATTTTAGCTACAAAATAGAAAATCCATATTGAAAGAAAAGCTAAACTGGACATCAAATTACTATCTGAATTCTCTTTTATTCTCCAACTGTAAAATGTGTTATATTAGATGGAGTCATAATTGAATTTGTTGCTTTGTTAAGACATTTAGAATCTTTATTTATTGAATTTCAGATATATCTAAACGCTGAAAGCTTTTATAAGAGATTTCAATTTGAGATTTTTTCAAGAAGAGAACAATGATGAGAAAGGTTAATACTAATTGTTAGATTTCTTGTGCAAAAAAAATTATGGGCAATACCAGTTCATTGCACGGCAACCAAATTCAATGGGTTTGTAGGTTATTGCATCAGTACCATATAGAATAAGAATAAGAACGTAGTTTTCTCTTACGGTTTGAAGCATATATTTCTACATCAAGCTTGGTGTAATACTATTCTTTTTTTAAACTTAAAAGGTTGACAAGAAGGGAATTAATTATTGTTCTAACATATAAACGAAACTTATTTAAAATTTAAATATTACAATTTTGAACAAAAAATGTAACGTGGGTAGGACTTCTGCTTTTTGTTGATCAAGCTGTAACCTTTCAGCTTCAAATCTTATGTATGCAGATGTTAAATTATTATGCTATCGCTTTCTTCTTGGTACTTTCAACGTCTAATGCAGAATTAAATGCAAGTGTTGGTGATGCTGATCCACTTTATAGGTATATGGTTCTCATCTTTCTCAATCTTCCTTTCAAAGTGAGTTAATCATTAATTTTATATGGAGTACGTTTCATGAACAAAAAAAATTATGACGACTTTTTTTTTGGATATTAGGAATTGTGTAAGTCAATGTGAGGAAACTGGATGCGTAGAGGAAAAATGCTTTCCAAATTGTAAATTTTCTTTAGATGAAATCCCTAATTGTCATTCATGGGACATGTTAGAACCATATTATAAACCGTGGAAGAAACAAGAATGCAAAAGTGATTGTCAATATCATTGCATGCTTGATATAGAGGAAGAGAGACAGTTACTTGGTGAAAGCCCAGTAAAATATCATGGTAAATGGCCCTTCAAGCGTATCTATGGTATTCAGGTATGCTATTAGAGAGGTCCTTGCACTCTATGCCATTTCATTTTGAATTTGGTGTCCAATAAAATCATCAACTTTTTTTCACATATATGACATGCAATGCATTTATTCAGGAGCCTGCTTCTATGGCTTTCTCTGCCCTCAATCTTGCAATGCATTTTCATGGTTGGAGATCCTTTTTCAATCTTCTACACAAGAAACTTCCTCTCAGTGCAGGCAAGAAGAATTCCTATGAATATGCTGGTTTATGGCATGCTTATGGGCTCTTATCAGTAAACTCTTGGTTTTGGAGTGTTATTCTTCATACTCGGTGAGTTACTAATGTAGATATTTTCAATATTTTATGCTAATTTTAAAGGAGTGTTAATTGTCACTCCTCTATGTCTGTTGTCACTTCTATTTAATGATTTTTGTCTTAAATATTCCAACTATCAATACAATTAAAAAGAAATTAAACAAAAATCACTTAAATAAGAGTAAAAATAAACGATCAAGAGTGGTGATAGATACACTCTAATTTCAAGTGTGTAATGTCATAAATCATGAATTAGCAAATTACAACTTGTGTTGTATGTAAATTTCAGAGTGCTAGTGTTGATTGTATTATAATTTATGTTGATACTTTTGTAGTTCTTTGAAGAATATCTCTCATATAATTTCACCAAATAATAAAAAGAATAAAAGAAACAAGTCGTCTTATTATCTATTTTGTTGTGTAACATGTTTCTTAAGATTTTTCTTACATTGAAATGCAGAGATTTTGAGTTAACAGAAAAGCTAGACTACTCTTCTGCAGTGGGTCTCCTTGGATATTCCCTCATTTTAGCCATAGTACGGAGCTTCAATATAAAGGATGAAGCTACTAGAGTTATGATATTTGCTCCCTTGTTATCTTTTCTGATCACCCATATATTTTACCTCAACTTCTATAAATTTGACCACGGTATGTCCTATCTAGTAATCTTTATTTTATTAATAATTAATTCTAAGGACAAGAATTACATGAAAACTTATGTTTCCTTTATTTATTTTCTCTAAAATAAAATATCAGGGGCTGTTTTATTTTAAAATATATATCTTTTATTTTCTATTTTTGTTTTTAATTACAAATTTGGTACTTTATTTTCATTGTTTTCTTTTTTTAAAGATTTATACCAAAAATAAAAATACGTGTACTCTTTCTTGTATAAATCTATAAAAATAAAATAACTATTTTATAATTAAAAGTAAAAAAAAATTAATACAAAACAAGCAACCCCTTATCTTTCCAATTATCTATTCCATTCACATTTTTGGCTTCCACTTCCATTGCAAAATTACTGAAAATATTATTTATTAGGAAATTTTATTCCTAGCGTTTTTTCGGTGCGTTTACTTGAAATATTTATGGTCAAGATGAGACTTACTTTTGAGAGGTAGATCGATAGGGTTGGGTTTGAATTGCTACCATCTTTCTCAAAAGATAAATTATATTTTATTGCGAATCATAATGTGATTTATGTGTATGAGACAGAAATTTTAATTATGTTTTTCTTCATTACTATTTCATGATATTTTTTTCACTTTTTTATGATTTGTTTATGACATTCTTATTATAACTTCAATTGCAGAATGGAATATGAAAGTTTGTGTAGTAATAGTAGTAGCACAACTTACAATATGGGTAGTTTGGGCTGGTGTTAATCAACATCCTTCACGATGGAAGCTTTGGTTTGTTGTTCTAATTGGTGGGCTTGCAATGTTCCTAAAAATGTATGATTTTCCTCCATATGAAGGACTTCTAGATGCACATTCCCTTTGGGTTGCCATTACTATTCCTCTAACTTGCCTATGGTGGAGTTTTGTCAGGGATGATGCTGTGCTTCTAACCTCTAAACATTCAAAGAAATCTAAGAAATCCAAGTAGTTTTTGTTAATTTGGAAGTGCTTACTTCTCTTTATTCCTGTAACAAATTAAGATGTCCATTGCCCAGTTTTGTATTAGTATATGGGAAAATGATGCAGGTTGTCTCCCTAGATGTTCTCTTTAATAGGCAAAAAATCATTACAGAATTTCCCTACATATTTCAGCATTTTCCCTTAATTAAATGTATATAAAAGTTCATTATTATTGGTCAAACCTGTATATTATTTTCTTGGATAATGGATTCTCTGTGTTCAATTTTTCTTGCTTCCCTTTAGACATGCTTCTTTCAATGTGTCAAGCATGCTACGAAAGTATTTCTTGGTAGTGATTGTGTGGTGGTTAGTATTTTCTTTTTGGTTCATTTTTAGTAATATATTTTGTTATAATTCACTTCAATTTATGCTCTTTATTATTTAAATTTATGAACAAAATATTAAAAACAAAGTAAGAGAATCCAATACACCTTTTACTGGCAAAGACTGGATAAAGCTTAAATATGTATTCATTAATCAATCAAATATTCACTTTACGCAAATGATTTAAAATTTAAGAATACATATCACATAATACTTGTTTATATAATATAGAGAATATGTAACTATAAATGAATTAATTAACTTTAGGTTAAGTTCACTTATATATTTTCCATCTCAAAAAGTAAAAATAAAAATGTGACTCTATGCTTTAAATTAATGTTAATATCCTTTTACATAAAATTCTTATTCCCATTATATAAATAATAATATACTTTTATTTAAAACTTAATCTAATGCAATATAGATATTAAAATATGTAAATATTACAACATTTTGTGCAATATTTTAAAAATAAATTTAATTATTCTGATTTTTTAACAACAAAGCTTATTGAATTAATTATAAATTTTAATGTAATGTTTTTCCTCATGTACAATTGAGATATTTAAATTTTTTTAATGACGTAAAATTTTACTTATACCTAAAAAAAAGTATGTAAAGTAAATAGCACAAAATATCATATTTATAATAATATATTTATATTGCATTCACTTTAATTAAATTACTTAAATTAACATATATGTTTTTATTTGTGCTGTTTTCCTCTCAAATTTCATAAAACGGTTGAAATAATTTATTAAAATTTTAAGGTAAAAAATGTTTCAATTCATCAATGATCTTATGCTACCATGCTTAATAATTCACTGCATCTTTTAATTCTTTCTGTGCGTAATAGTTTATGCATGATTCATAATAATTTTTCTAATAAAAAATATTGTGATTAATTTAATAAAATTAGAAATAACAAACAGAGAAACCTTAAGACATAATGGTTATGGAGATTTTATCTTTTCACTTGAAATATTGATTTAATTATTTGTTTATTTGAGTTTCAATTTAGTCATAAGCACATGGAGTTGGTCGTTATGCACGTGATCAAATGACACAAAAATTATTTTCTGTAAAGAATATTTATGGTCTAATAAAAAATAATTTGGAAAAAAACACATCAAATTAAAATGTAGGTTTCTAAATTATTAGGAGTTAACTTGAATACTAAGCAAATTAGAGAAGTTTTTTTCTTTTTGTATCTAACCAAATTTTTATGAAATCTTCATTAATCTTGTTAATATGTAAAAAATTATGTTTACACGTAATGTTTTAACTTCATTTTTTTATTTGTGTGTGTGTGTGTGAGTTTCATTTGTTCAGTTTTTTTTTTTTTTTTCATCATACTAAGTGATTATTTTCTACGTTAATAATTATTTCTATTTAACATTAATTCAAATTTTTCATAATTTATTTTTTATTTTGAAAAACAATGTCTTTACTTAATGTATTTAATATAATATAATATTTTTTATTAAAAATCACAATATTTACTGTATTTTAAATTTATAGAGCAACTTCTATATATAATTTGTGAGCATTAAGTATCTTGCATGTCTTTATAAGAAAATGTATGATTAATATTTCAAATATCTAAAAGCAAAATAGTGTACAATTAATTAACCTTCAAACTAAAATTTTCTCGTAAGTCCTTAAAAACTATTTGAGAGTTGTATATATATACATGAGAATTAATAAACAACAATCATCTTTGAACTAATCTAATGGAAGATCCAAAATTGACTATAACAAAAATAATTGGGTACTTAATATGTACAAGCATTTCATCTATAAACTAATTGCAGTACAAATTACTGTTATTTATGAAGAAATACAATTTAATAGTTAAAAATTTCAACAAAAAAATTATAAAGACAAAAATGCGAAATATTATTACCTTTATAACATAAATACCCTAAATAAAGGAATCCATTGCCTTTCATCTATCTAAAATTTACTGTATAAAAGAAAACAATTTTATAATTTTCAGAAGGAGATGAATATGTTGAGTTCTCGTAAGATGATTGTGAATTTTAAGTTTTAGAAATTTTAAAAACAAAAATCACTTTTAATTTTATAATTTTTTATTTTAAATTTTTGTAATTTTTACTTTTTTCAAATTTAACACTAATTTTAAATTTAAATAATATAAATTACTTTTTATTACTCAAATCAAGTTTGCTTAATGATAAAGTGATAATGATAGTTGTAGTAACACTAACGCAAACATAAATAATATTAATCATATGACAATAATAATAACAGTGATAATAATAATGAAAATTATTGTATATATTTTAAGATATGTGAAGTCAAATAATTTATTTTATAATTAAAAATAAAAAAAATTACTTTTTATCTTTTAAAAATAAAAATTAAAATTTTAAAATAAAGTCAGAAATTAATTCAACTTCGTCCTAATAAAATATATTTTGTTTTAAAGTTTAAATTTAAAAATAGAAAAAATAAAAAATCCAACTACTCCAATAATATAATATATCTAATTTATTATTATATCTGCTTATCTAATTTATATCCTTCAATTCTCTTATATTATCATTTTCTAACCTTAGTCCTGTCTAAAAAATATTATTAAATAATATAAAAAACATAATAAACTAAAATTTTCTAAATACAATAAATAATTTTAGTCATAGTGTACTCAATTTATAAAAATCAAACTAATTAAAATAACAAAATTTAATAATATTAATTATAATAATAACTAGTTTAATAACTTGTGCAATACACTGATATTATTTTTTAAATAAATAAATAAATAAATAAAATTTAATAATTAAAGAATAAAATTTTATATTTTATAAATATTTATATATATAATATAAATATTTTAAACAATAAATTTAATAAAATTTATTTTAACTTAATTTTATAACTATGAATAATATGCATTAAATGATAAAATTAGAGAAATTTTGATCTCTTTAATTTTAATCATTCACGTTTATTTTTAAATTTTCTAAATTTTTATATTAAATTTCTTATTCTAAAATTTTATCTAATAATTAGGAAAAATATAATGGAAGTCATTTTATTGATTTATACAATTAAATAAAAATATGTAAAATATTTAAATAAAAATATAAAAATATAATAAAAGTCTTTATTTTTGGGACGAATGACTTATTTTAGAATTTTAAAAATTAAAAAATTAAATATAAGTAATTAAAATTAGAAGGATTAAAATATACAATATTAAAATAAAATATCAAAAATGCAATTACGGCAATTTTTTTAATAAAGTACAATGACTAGATTTTCTAAAATACAATAAATAATTATGTACTCAATGAATATAATTATTAATGAAGTTAATTCTAATAGAAAATTCTTATAATATTAATTACCAAAACATTGCTAACAATGTTTTGTTTTAAGCATCAAGCCAACAACGCTAATTATGACAATATTTTAAATTAACAATACAATTACTATTTTAATATATAAAATTATTATTACAAAACTAACTTTAGTTTGGGTTTAAAAAAATTATCACACTATATTAATTTTAATAATAACATACTTATTAAATAAATATGAATATTAGAGTATTTCTTTATTTTTTATTTTTAAATTTGTCTCTTTTATAAAATCAAAGAAATATATTTACAATAAACAAGAAAAATTCCTACAATAATATTACTAAATATTTTATTTTAGGAACATGTATAATTATTTTGATAATTCCCACTATGTAATAAAAAACCTTAAAAGACATATGAACAAGCAATTTAATAGCTTTCTTTGTCATTTATCTCTATAAATAAAAGATAAAACCCGCAAATTAGAAATATAAACCAGAAAGTATTGGGCCAAGTGTGGAGTTTGAGAGATCCAAGCCCATATGATATAAAAACCTAAGGCCCGTAATTTAGGATTGCGTTTTACAATTGCGTTGCTTGGCGGATAAATCCCTCGGCAGCACTAAACTTCTCTCTCCCACACACCACTTTATATACGCTCTTTAGAGAAGGCAGCACCACTCCCTTCGCCGCCTCTCTCTCCCTCGCTCTTTCAGGTTCGTTTTCCTTAGAAATTTTCCTCTGCACCTGATTTCTCACTTCTGTTTCCTTCGTATCTATGTTTATAAACAGATCGGTATATATATTTTTTCTTTCTTTTATGTTTTTCGTTGGATTTCTTTCAGATCTATGCTTTACTGGAATATTCCGATTCGGTTTCGTAACTTTACTGCGTGTTTTGGAATTTAGTTACGTTTTGATTTAATATTTTTGCGGTGAATTGGTGTACTCTGTTGATTTGTTCATTATCAGTGTCTATTCGATGTGATTTTGTGTGATTTTCGCGTTTGATTGATTTTATGGAAAAATCGATTGTTTTGTTTTTACTTAAAAAAGTTTTTTAGTAAGAATTTGATTTGACATGTTTGAACACAAAATCCAAAAATCTACTTATAGATCTATTTTTTCTCTCTCTTTGTCTGGTTATTCTTGTATTGTGTTTCTAACAAATAGATCTTGGTTGAGCCTTGGACTCGTTATTGTTTTGTGTTAAGTTTTTGCAGGTCGTTTGTGTGTTTCAATGATGATAATTTTATTTTTACTTTTTAAACATTCACAATCTAGGATGAGCAACTTGCACCTGTCCTTTTAATATTTGAAGTAACCTTTTTATAAACAAGTGATCCTTTTTGTCCCAGCTTGTATACCCTCGCTTTAGAGAAGTTTAATTCACAAAATGAATTACCTGTTACGAACATGATTTTGTGATAATATTATTTATTTTTGCTGATTTTATTCTGTAATTTATTTTTGTCAGTTATATCATTCAATTTACTGTCCTTTTCCTTCTGAGAGTGATATCTTATTATTATTTTCGCTAATTTCGGTGATTTTAATGTTTCAGCTATAACTAACTCGTTTTTTGTGGAAATTAAAGACCAGTCAAAATGGTAAGTTAATGAGAAGTACTTTATTAATATTTTTATTTATTTACTTTGGTTGAATGCTCGGAATTGATATTTTCTTCTATATCTGCAGGTGAAGTTCACAGCTGAAGAGCTACGTCGTATTATGGACTATAAGCACAATATCCGTAATATGTCTGTCATTGCTCATGTTGATCATGGTATGGAGTGAAAGCTTTTATATTGTCTTGTTATTTTTCCTTTGATGTACTTTTCTGACTGTTGTGATATTGTTCTCTTACCTTATGTTTTGAACAAACATATAATTGTTCTTTGGTATTTGTTTGGTGATAAATTTTTGAATTGTACCTTTTTAAAAGAGTTCCTTTGATATTTGACATAGAGAAGGCCACTTTGATATTTTTTTTTTCAGTTTCTTAAGTTTGTTAATACTCATTTTTTTGTATACATGATTACTTCAATAATGATTTTTGATACAACTACTTAGCTAGTTTACAGAAATGTGTGTATTATGTTTTATCAAATTATGTAATTACTACAGTTTGCTTGTCTGAATGACAATTTATTGTTTGGCTTTTCAATGGCAGGGAAATCAACCCTCACAGATTCTCTCGTAGCTGCTGCTGGCATTATTGCACAAGAAGTTGCAGGTGATGTCCGAATGACTGATACTCGTGCGGATGAAGCTGAGCGTGGTATAACAATAAAGTCTACGGGTATCTCACTTTACTATGAAATGCCTGATGAATCTCTCAAGAGTTTTAAGGGAGACCGCCAAGGGAATGAGTATCTCATCAATCTTATTGACTCCCCTGGGCATGTTGATTTCTCATCGGAGGTTACTGCTGCACTTCGAATTACTGATGGAGCTCTAGTGGTGGTGGATTGTGTTGAAGGTGTCTGTGTCCAAACTGAAACTGTGCTACGACAAGCCCTGGGAGAAAGGATTAGGCCTGTTCTGACTGTTAACAAGATGGACAGATGCTTCCTTGAGCTCCAGGTGGATGGAGAGGAAGCTTATCAGACATTTCAAAGGGTTATTGAGAATGCTAATGTGATCATGGCTACATATGAAGATCCACTACTTGGTGATGTTCAGGTCTATCCAGAGAAAGGAACAGTTGCTTTTTCTGCAGGTTTGCATGGCTGGGCGTTTACCTTGACTAACTTTGCCAAGATGTATGCATCCAAGTTTGGAGTTGATGAGTCAAAGATGATGGAAAGGCTCTGGGGTGAAAACTTTTTTGATCCAGCCACCAAGAAATGGACTAACAAGAATACTGGTTCTGCTACCTGCAAGCGTGGGTTTGTTCAGTTCTGTTATGAACCTATCAAGCAGATCATTAACACTTGTATGAATGACCAGAAGGATAAGCTATGGCCTATGCTTCAAAAGCTTGGAGTCACCATGAAATCTGAGGAGAAGGACCTCATGGGGAAAGCATTGATGAAGCGTGTCATGCAAACCTGGCTCCCAGCAAGTAGTGCTCTCTTGGAAATGATGATATTTCATCTTCCGTCTCCGGCAAAGGCCCAGAAGTATCGTGTAGAGAATTTGTATGAGGGTCCCATGGATGATCAGTATGCTTCTGCTATCAGAAATTGTGATCCTGAAGGACCTCTGATGCTCTACGTCTCCAAGATGATTCCTGCATCTGACAAGGGTAGGTTTTTTGCTTTTGGCCGTGTGTTCTCTGGCAGGGTTTCAACTGGTTTAAAGGTCAGGATTATGGGACCAAATTATGTCCCTGGGGAGAAAAAGGACTTGTATGTTAAAAGTGTTCAGCGAACTGTGATTTGGATGGGAAAGAGACAGGAAACTGTAGAGGATGTCCCTTGTGGTAACACAGTTGCTATGGTTGGTTTAGATCAATTTATCACTAAGAATGCTACATTGACTAATGAGAAGGAAGTTGATGCCCACCCTATTCGAGCTATGAAGTTTTCTGTCTCACCTGTTGTCCGTGTTGCTGTTCAGTGTAAGGTGGCATCAGATCTTCCTAAGCTTGTTGAAGGTCTTAAACGTTTGGCCAAGTCAGATCCTATGGTTGTTTGTACTATTGAGGAGTCTGGTGAGCACATTGTTGCTGGTGCAGGAGAGCTTCATCTAGAGATCTGTTTGAAAGACTTGCAGGAAGATTTCATGGGTGGAGCTGAGATTATTAAATCTGACCCTGTTGTGTCATTCAGGGAGACTGTCCTTGAGAGATCTTGCCGCACTGTGATGAGTAAGTCACCCAACAAGCACAATCGTCTATACATGGAAGCAAGACCAATGGAGGATGGGCTTGCAGAGGCCATTGATGAGGGCAAGATTGGACCAAGGGATGACCCCAAAGTTCGTTCTAAAATCTTGTCAGAAGAATTTGGTTGGGATAAGGACCTTGCCAAGAAAATCTGGTGCTTTGGACCTGAGACCATTGGACCCAACATGGTGGTTGATATGTGTAAGGGAGTCCAGTATTTAAATGAAATCAAGGATTCCGTAGTTGCTGGTTTCCAGTGGGCATCAAAAGAAGGTGCATTGGCTGAAGAAAACATGAGAGCCATATGTTTTGAAGTATGTGATGTTGTCCTGCATGCTGATGCTATCCACAGAGGAGGTGGTCAGATCATTCCTACTGCTAGGAGAGTCTTCTATGCTTCCCAGTTGACTGCCAAGCCAAGGCTTCTCGAGCCTGTTTACCTGGTCGAAATCCAGGCTCCTGAACAAGCTCTTGGTGGTATCTACAGTGTTCTTAACCAGAAACGTGGACATGTCTTTGAGGAAATGCAGAGGCCGGGTACCCCGCTTTACAACATCAAAGCTTACCTTCCTGTCATTGAATCTTTTGGGTTCTCAAGCACATTGAGGGCTGCAACATCAGGGCAGGCTTTTCCACAGTGTGTGTTCGATCACTGGGATATGATGTCCTCAGATCCATTGGAGGCTGGTTCACAAGCTGCACAGCTTGTTTCTGACATTCGCAAGAGGAAGGGCTTGAAGGAGCAGATGACTCCACTCTCCGAGTATGAAGACAAGCTTTAAATTATTTAAACTACCTACTATGAACTTAGCTGAGTTCCTCCTGATGAAAACTTTGTTACCTTAGTTTTAAAGTTCAGTATCTTGAGTTTTGTTTCTGGTTTTGTCAGTGGATTGTTGTACTTGGTATTATTTGTCTTTGCATCGATGTATTTTTGCTCCGTAGGATTTTGCATCGATGATTTGGTCCAAACTATTTATGCGAATTTTGCTTAAAAGACGCTCTTCGAATAATGGCGTGTTGCGTTTGATAATGCGCAAATGATCCAATGGAATTGTGTTTAATAAATTGAATATAACAGGGGAACAGGGAATAAGACCTTTGATGTTATGGTTAAAATTGATCAAAGGTGGAGGGGGATGAAATTGGTTACCTGAATAGTTTACTTAGGTTGGGAACTTTATTTCCGTCGCTTAATGGGAAGACTGATCTAAAGTTAGAAATATGGCCTCCCAAGCTTTCATTTTCGTTATTGCTCCCGAATTATAAGAAACAAGTGCAGGTGAGACAATTAGACTACTGCGAAGCTAATGATGTGAACCTGATTCATTTTCATCGCATTCAGTTTCAAAGACATGGCTTTACAAGAAGGTAGTGGTTGAAGGGAAATTGTATACTGTTCACGCAAACACTTTTTAACATTTTTTTTGGAATTAGTTATTTTTAAAATATTAAACAAATTTTTAAATGATAAATCTGAGGTAAAAATATTGCGTCTTTATTAAAAAATGACCAATTATAAAAATGTATGTTGCAGAATGGATTTATAAGACAGCGTTATCAGCTTTTTCTCTTATTATTGCCATGAAATATCTAGTAATATATTGGCCGTAAGTCCGTAACTGACAAAATAGGCAGTCTTGATTGACGCTAATTCTGTTCTTTCCATACGTCCTATTATTTCTTATGACTCAGAATTATTGTTTGCTAATGCTTTTTATTTTCACTGTTTTTTCTTTATGCTTGCTTCACATTGTTTGTAGATCCATCTTCTAGAATGTTCCCTTCTACATGGCATGATTTTGAAAAAGCCAACCCATATTGCAAGTTCCATATTCGGGGTGTGTCAGGCATAGAAGTAAGTTGTAGTTCAAAACCAGCTCAGTAGAGTAGATAACAGCATATAAATAAACTGAAATTACTAAATGCGAAGTTGCGTGGCAGTTGGAACAAAAGCTATATGCCCAGTAGAGGAAACTCCAATCAAAGTAGAATGAACATACTGATATACTGCACGACTAAACCTCAAGACCCCAAAAAACATCATTGGCTTCCCAAACAAAAAATTAAAGAAAAAAGTGAACTTATGAGCATCAACAGGGTCTCAGAAATATCCAACAGTTGAGCACAAAACTCGTAAACCATATCGTTCTCATAAAATGAGAACAAATATTACAACCGGAGAAGAAGCCAACCATCTGAATTTTTGTATGATCCTACTCCCCAAAAATAAAAATCATCACCATTTACGATTCTTCTCCAATTAACACTTGAAAAAGAAGAATTACCCAAAACCCACCACTTCTTTTGTTTGCTTTTCCTTTCCATTTTCAAAATTCAGTGAATCAAAACCATGTTTGTGTTCATTCCTATGAGTCTCAGACTCAAAATACCCTTTCGTCTTTCCATTGAGCTACCATTACCAAATCCCACTCTAAGAATGTCAGGATGGGTTTCGAATTTCAGTTCCACCAAAGCCCCTTCACCAGTACAAGAACCACAACACTACATTCGCATTTTCTGCAATGCGAGGCTACACCAGAATCACGCAGAGTGCGAACTTGCATTGGTTTCCGCACTTAAATACCGTTCCTCCTCCCATGGCCGCCAACTCCATTCTCTGGCCTTGAAACTTGGTCTCTACTGCAACACCTTCATTCAAAACAGCTTGATCAACATGTATGCAAAATGCGGTTCAATTTCTGATGCCCAATTGTTGTTTGAGGCTTGTCCTAGGTTGGACATTGTCTCTTGTAACATTATGATTTCTGGGTATGCGAAAGCTGGTCAATTGAACAATGCGCGCAAACTGTTTGACACAATGCCTGACAAAGATTGTGTCTCCTACACCACCATGATTATGGGTCTTGTTCAAAATGATTGCTTTCGTGAAGCCCTTGAGGTTTTCAAGGACATGAGGTCTCGTGGTGTGGTCCCTAATGATGTAACTCTTCTCAATGTGATATCTTGTTGCCCACATTTTGGTGAAATTTTGAACTGTAGACTGATTCATGCGTTGTCGATTAAGTTATTTGTTGAGGGGTTGCTTTTTGTTTCCACGAATTTGGTGCACGCGTACTGTGTTTGTTCCGGTTTAGGGGAAGCAAGGCGGTTGTTTGACGAAATGCCTGAACGGAATTTGGTAGCGTGGAATGTAATGTTAAATGGATATGCAAAGACAGGACTTGTTGACTTGGCCAGGGAGTTGTTTGAGAGAATTCCTGATAAAGATGTGATTTCCTGGGGCACAATGATTGATGGTTATATCTTAAAGAATTGTTTGCATGAGGCTTTGATGATGCATCGTGCAATGCTTCGATCTGGACTGGGACCTAGTGAAATCGTGGTTGTGAATTTGGTCTCGGCGTGTGTTCGCTTCAATGCAATTGGTGATGGTTGGCAATTGCATGGAATGATTGTTAAGAGAGGCTTTGATTGTTACAATGTGATTCAGACTACAATCATTCATTTTTATGCAGCTTGTGGGATGATAGTCCTTGCCTGTTTGCAATTTGAAGTGGGTGTAAAGGATCACCTGGAATCATGGAATGCTCTAGTTGCTGGATACATAAAAAATGGGATGATGGACAAAGCAAGGCAAATCTTTGATCAGATGCCTGAAAGAGATGTCTTTTCGTGGAGTACCATAATTTCTGGCTATGCACAAATCGACCAGCCCAAAATGGCTCTTGAACTCTTCCATAAAATGGTAGCCAGTGGAGTCAAACCAAATGAAGTTACCATGGCGGGTGTATTCTCTGCAATTGCCACATTAGGCACACTGAAAGAAGGAAAATGGGCCCATGAATACATGTGCAATGAATCAATTCCCTTGAGTGACAATTTATGTGCAGCTCTGATTGATATGTATGCAAAATGTGGGAGCATCAACACTGCCTTACATCTTTTCAATAAGATTCGAGACAAAGCTTTTTCAGTATCCCCATGGAATGCAATTCTATGTGGGTTAGCCTCGCATGGACATGCAACTATGTGCCTAGAGGTTTTCTCTGATACTCAAAGGTATAATATTAAACCCAATCCAATCACATTTATAGGAGTCCTAAGTGCTTGTTGCCATGCTGGACTGGTGGAGCCTGGTAGGAGAATATTTAGAAGCATGAAGAGTGTGTATAATGTGGAACCAGATATCAAGCATTATGGTTGTATGGTTGATCTTTTGGGGAGGGCTGGGCTTTTAGAAGAAGCGGAGGAAATGATCAGGAACATGCCAATGGAGGCTGACGTTGTGATATGGGGAACTTTGTTAGCAGCATGTAGAACTCATGGAAATGTCAATATAGGAGAGAGGGCTGCAAAGAGTTTAGCACAGTTGGCACCGTCACACGGTGGAGGTAAAGTACTCTTATCAAACATATATGCAGATGCTGGAAGGTGGGAGGATGTATCATTGGTAAGAAGAGTCATACAGATTCAAAGAATGGAGAGAATGTCTGGATGCAGTGGTGTTGTAAGGTAGCTAGAAGAGTTTCAGTTCACTTAGATTATTTTGCTAATTTTTTACGTGACGATGCTGATCTTTTGGTATGATCTTTTCTGTAGAATCATCATGCATTCATATTTTATAAATGTTTAGAAATAAAATAGGGTTTGGCAGCAGGTGTACTTTAAACACACTGTTATTGTTATTATATCAATTTTCTAATATGTACAGCATTACACGGGATAAGGAGTTATATATAAATATAAATTAAATTTTTATTGAAAGTTGTAGTGTTTAATTGCACTGAATTCTGTAATTTTTAACAAAAATGGACTATACATCTTCTTATCCTATGAGCTTCAAGTGAGAAAATATGAGCTTCAAAATAATTTGTTTTGGAACTGCAAAGTGGAAATAAGGGATTATTAGCTTTTCATTTGTTACTGGAAATATAGAACAGAAAAGGGCAAGGTGGAGATACAAAGAGCTTGATGAAGAGGAAATAGAAGAAACTACACCGCATAGGCAAGAGGCTGAAGTAGGATTGATTAAAAGTTTAGATTTAGATCATACATGACATATATGTTACATGGTTAAAAGCAGTTTTCAGTATGTGATATCCATGTTATTGTTAATCAAAGAGGCTTTGTTTGTTCCCTTTTCTTCATTTTGATTTTCAATCATTAATTTAAACGAAATAAGTATTGACTGTTTGTATACGAAGATGTGAAAGACTTTTGTTTTCCAATAGTGGATTAGTGACCAAGTAACATGCTTAATTGTGTGTGATTGTATTAGAATAGGCCCAGGTTGGATTAACTTATGGACAAGTCTCGGAAGAGAATAAAAATAATATAAAAAATAAATAAAATTTCTCTAATAAATTGAAAATAATTTATTTCTTCAAGTTTTAGGAAAGTTAAATAAGAATAAAGTTGTTTGGTAAACAGAAATTTTTTTTACCTATGTTATAAAAAGTTAAATAAGAATAACTTTTAAAAAATAGAAAGGTTGCTTGGTAAAAAGAAATTTTTTTCACTTGAGTTGTAAAGCATAGTCTTTTAGTCAAGCTTGAGATGGGTAAAATAAGTTCTCTCTCTTTCTCAAAAGAAGAGGTGCGTTATTTCCTCTCGAAAAAACGTTTGAATAAATGGAAGAACACATTTTTTTATTGAAACTAATGTGATAATAAGACTATATTTGACAAGTTTTGTAAATATGAGGAAGCAAAAAACTTCAGATTTTTAGTCGAGCAGATGAAGCTTTTGTTTGACAAGTTTTCACATGAATGGATAATGGAGCCTTACTTTTAGTAAAAGTGTGTAATGGTTCGAGGAGTTTCAACAGATTTTATAACCTAAGACTTTGAAGTGCCAAAATTAGTCGAAAAAGAGGTATTGCAACATTGTTTTCTGAAAATTGGTTGAAAAAGTGATTTACTTCAAATATTTCAATTGCAAGAGTCCAAATGATAGGTAATATAAAAAAATGAAAAAATACGTTGGAAGAACGTTAAAAATCTTTGGAAGCGGTTATCAATAGTTATCAATGGTTGCTTCAAGCTCAAAATGAAGATACATGGAGAAGATTGTGGGTGATTAAACAATAGCAGTTACACAGAATGTGTGGAAGGAAGTTGCGGAATAAACAGTTGAAGAATCGCTTATAAATAGGACATTATTTTATGTCTTAAAGGTGAAACACTATATCTATAAGCTAGAGCTCCATGCACTATTTAGACTTAGCAATCTGGAGATTAACAGATTTGTATTTATATTTCATAATTCAATTCCAGTTGTTTTTCTTTAACTTTTAACGCTTTATTTTAATATTGTTCCATTCTCCTGCTTTTATTATTTTTGTTTGTTTTGCTTTATGATGTTAATTTAACAATTACGTTAAAAACATACTTAAAGAATGTAAAGAGAATATTTACGGTAAACAAAAAAAATTAATTTTAATTTATAAAATAAATTTTATTAATTTTTTATATTGCTTTTCTTTTCTTACATGACTTATTCACAAGTTTACCTTAAAAAGTACCTAAATCATTCATCTTCTTGCGAGAGTTTTTCACCCAATTTAAATTGTTCCATGTAATTGACTGATATGCTTATGAGCAATGATATTTTCACACCACGAGGGGGTAAAATGGATGCTGGGAAGAAAAAAGAACGTAAAAGGAAAAAAGAAGACAAAGTAGAGATACAATTATCATATGTAAAAAGAAGAAAGAAATTAAAAAAATATAAATAAAATATAGGAAAAATTGACTAAAAGAAAATTATTATAACAATATTATTGTTACACATATTATAGCTTTTCGTAATAATACTGTTAACTCTACCATATTCAGTAAACACACTGCAAACCGTCACAACATGAATGGTATAATTATAAAATATAGATAAGTTGTGGAACATATAACTTTTCGTGTAAATGTTTTTTTAATCAAATAGTGCTGTTGCTAAACAAATTGATGAAAATGATTTTTCTTTAAATGTTAAATGGGATTTTTTATTATTTTATGTGACAAGAGGAAAATTGAATTTTATAATCTAAGATGAGAAAACATTGAGATTTTATATTGTAATATCAATTTAATTCCTTTTACATAACCCATAAGCAACAGAAAACATTTAAATTTTTCTCTATTTAATTTTCTCAAATGAAATATAGTTTCTAAAATGAAAATTTCCTTTACGTTGTATTCGGGAAAAGTAAGCTAAGCTAAAATATAATAATCTTTAGGCCTCGTAAGCTGATATATGGTCAAGTCAACAAATAATTATTCAATTTATTTAACTGATACTACTTTATAGAATTTTAATTTTTTTTATAGGAAAAGAAGTCAAATTTCTTGCACACCACTCCAAGAAACTCTGGATTATCATTCAAAGCGTATGGGGGTTCAAGTTCACCTATGTTGAGCCTATGATGTTTTTCATTTCGGTGATGAAGACAATAGGATATTATAGTTTGTTTAGATAGTTTAATTTAGTATTTATTCAATGAAAATTTAGGTCTTTAGCTTTTAATTCAATAACTTCATTTTGAAAAGTTTTATTATTGAACTTATTTTTTTAAAAAAAACTTATAAATAAGTCATATGTGAGTCATAGCCATTCAAATAATAACTAGCAATTAACTACTAATATACAAATGATAGTTATTAAAAGTAATGATGCTTTTAATTATTAGGTAAAGTCATATTCTTATTCATTCTAATTCAAATTATAATAGTCATTTTAAATAATTTTAACTTTTCCTCCGATTAAATTAAATATTAACAATCCTATATATTAAATTTAAATCTTTATTTTACACTCCCTCTTAATCCATCGGGTAACTTTTCTTACATCAAATATTATTTGATTGTTCATACTAGAAGTTTTTAAATTTGTTAGCTAGAAATTCATAAATTTACACTTTAATATAACATACAAATTAATAGTTGATTTAGAAAATATATTTTCATAAGTTATTCTTAATTTTCATAACTCTATTTTTTAATGTATTCATATAAAATAAAATATTTTATTTAAAAATAAAAACATAACTTATTCATATTTCATTCCTTCTTAAGACGCCAGTTCCATCTTTACTCAACAATTATATTGTTCTTTAACTTTAATATTCGTGTAATGTAAAAAATAATGCTAATTTCGTAATAATTATTGAAACAATTTTTTGCTTTGAAAAATCTCTAATTGATTGGTTTCTCTAAAATGTCATGTTAGAAAAATATCTTATAATTAGGTAAAATTAATATTTTAACTAATTTTTTTTCGATTTGACCATTTAAATTGTTTTTGTTTTGTTTTGATTCTTTATCTTTTTATTTGGTTTCAATTTGGTCTTATTTGTCAATCATAGCAGTTTTTTTTTTATCGATGCAAATTATGAACTTTTTAATTAATTGTGGTATTTTTTTCACTACTATAATTAATATATAGTAAATAATTACAATCAAACACAAAAATTAAAACAATAAAATAAAATGAAAAGACCAAATTAAAACAAAAATAAAATTACAGAACCAAATTCATAATTTTGCTTATCTTGTAACATATGAAAGATTATATGCTTCGGTTCAGCTGTGAGTAGAATTGCGATTTTAGAATCCAAAAGTAATTATTTACAAAGTACATCCTAACTATTTAAGTACGTTGATCTGAATTGATTTTCTCTTGGGTTTAAATTCTCACTGAACATAGAAAGATCAATTTTTTTTAGTAAAAAGAATAAATTCTGACTTATATTTAGTATAGGCTAGGCAATGCCTATTTCTTTAAGATAAGCATTTCATATTATAGTATTAAACTTATCTGTATTCAAACCAAACTTTTTGTAATTCAACTTCGGAGAATATATGATGACCTACGCAAATACCACTCTATAAATGCAACTGTTGGTCTGACTTAAGTTGCCACCCTCTTTCAAACTCTGCGCCTGTTGCAGAGTGTTTAATTTAATGTGATCTTCTTTCCATTGTTTTCTATTTCTTTCTCAACCAGGTAGGTAACTTCTATGAGGTTTTCATAAGTGAATGAATATGATATTTTCATCATGTTGACTTTGCTGAATTTCGCTGCTTCTTTTTTTTTTCCACAAACTGAAAGTTAGTACTTTTTGGTTTCGGGTTAATGAATCACTTTGTTGTTTGTGATGGAATATTGTGTTTTGGGAGTCAATTTCTGTTTGATTCCAGAAATCTGTGTTCATTAATCATTTTTTATGTTTTCACAGTCAGCTTGTGTTTGAAGGAGCTTGTCGAGAATGGTAAGTTGACAGTGCTTTTCCTTTTTCTTTCTTTTTTTTGGTTATATTAACATCCGTCCTCAAAGTTAATTTGAAACATTTAAATTAGCCATTTTAAAATACTCAAAATCGTTAATAATTTCCTTTTTAAAAAAAAATAAAAAAATCCCTTAAACGGGTTCTTAAGATAAACTGATCTATGATGTGCAGGTGAAGTTCACAATTGATGAGCTTCGGCGGATTATGGACCGGAAACACAATATCAGGAACATGTCTGTTATTGCTCATGTTGATCATGGTATGGTATTCTAGCTTTTTGTGAAGCCTTTCTTACTGGTTTTTGATAGCTGAGAATGTTGTTTACCAACACCTTTTTGTAATTTAGTCTTTGTATCTTCTTTGGTCATAGAGATTAAAAAGAAGAAAAAGATTTTCATATCCTCTTTAAATTTCTGGTCCTTGATCACTCTCACATTATAGCATTGCTTTTGGTCTTATGTAGACATTGCAGTATTTTAATTAGTTTCTTGAATGCAGGAAAATCCACACTTACTGATTCTCTCGTGGCTGCTGCTGGTATTATAGCACAAGAGGCTGCAGGAGATGTTAGGATGACAGATACACGTCAAGATGAGGCCGAGCGTGGCATCACGATCAAGTCCACTGGCATATCTCTCTACTATGAGATGCTTGAGGAAGAATTGAAGAATTTCAAGGGAGAGCTTGAAGGGAAAGAGTTTCTTATAAATCTCATTGACTCACCCGGGCATGTGGACTTCTCATCTGAGGTCACAGCTGCACTTCGCATCACTGATGGAGCACTTGTGGTGGTGGATTGTGTTGAGGGTGTCTGTGTCCAAACAGAAACTGTGCTGAGACAAGCCCTTGGAGAAAGGGTTAAGCCTGTTTTGGCTGTTAATAAGATGGATAGGTGCTTCCTTGAGCTCCACCTTGATGCAGAGGAGGCATACCTTACCTTTCAGAGGGTTGTTGAGAGTGCAAATGTCATCATGGCAACCTATGAAGATGCTCTACTTGGTACTGTTCAGGTGTACCCAGAAAAGGGAACAGTTGCTTTTTCTGCCGGTTTGCATGGATGGGCTTTTACCCTTACAAACTTTGCCAAGATGTATGCTTCCAAGTTTGGAGTTGATGAGGCAAAGATGATGAGTAGGCTATGGGGTGAGAATTTCTTTGACTCTGCTACCAGAAAGTGGACCAACAAGCACACTGGGACTTCTACTTGTAAGCGGGGCTTTGTTCAGTTCTGTTATGAACCAATCAAGCAGATTATTGAACTTTGCATGAATGACCAGAGGGATAAGCTGTGGCCAATGTTGCAAAAGCTTGGAGTGAACTTGAAGTCAGAGGAGAAGGAGTTGACAGGAAAGGCTTTGATGAAGCGTGTTATGCAGAGCTGGCTCCCAGCAAGCAGTGCCCTTCTGGAGATGATGGTATTTCACCTTCCCTCTCCTGCCAAGGCTCAAAAATATCGTGTCGAGAATTTGTACGAGGGTCCCCTTGATGATCCTTATGCTTCTGCCATCAGAAATTGTGATCCTGAAGGACCTCTAATGCTGTATGTATCAAAGATGATTCCTGCATCAGATAGGGGTAGGTTTTATGCTTTTGGCCGAGTCTTCTCGGGTACGGTCTCAACCGGTATGAAGGTCAGAATCATGGGACCAAACTATGTCCCAGGGGAGAAAAAGGACTTGTATATTAAAAGCGTACAGCGAACTGTAATTTGGATGGGAAAGAAACAGGAAACTGTTGAGGATGTGCCTTGTGGTAACACGGTTGCTATGGTTGGTTTGGATCATTATATCACGAAGAATGCTACATTAACAAATGAGAAGGACGTTGATGCACACCCCATTCGAGCAATGAAGTTTTCTGTGTCACCAGTGGTAAGGGTTGCTGTTACAAGCAAGGTTGCAGCAGATCTTCCTAGGCTTGTTGAAGGCCTAAAACGCTTAGCTAAGTCAGACCCTATGGTAGTGTGTGAGTTATCAGAGACTGGAGAGCATATAATATCTGCTGCTGGTGAGCTCCATCTTGAAATCTGCTTGAAGGACTTGCAGGATGATTTTATGAATGGAGCAGAGATTTCAATATCTGATCCTATTGTCTCCTTCCGCGAGACTGTGTCTGAGAAGTCTTGCCGCACTGTGATGAGCAAGTCACCTAACAAACATAACCGTCTGTACATGGAAGCAAGGCCTATGGAGGAAGGACTTGCAGAGGCCATTGATGATGAAAAGGTTGGACCACGGGTTGACCCCAAAAACTGTTCTAAAATATTGTCTGAAGAGTTTGGTTGGGACAAGGATCTGGCCAAGAAAATATGGTGTTTTGGCCCTGAGGGTAAAGGCCCTAACATGGTGGTAGATACATGTAAGGGTGTCCAATACCTGAATGAAATAAAGGACTCAGTTGTTGCAGGGTTTGAGTTAGCATCAAAAGAAGGTCCAATGGCTGATGAGAACTTGCGAGGGGTATGCTTTGAGATATGTGATGTTGTTCTTCATGCTGATGCCATTCACAGAGGAGGGGGGCAGATCATTCCAACTGCTAGAAGGGTCTTCTATGCTGCCATGCTGACAGCAAAACCACGACTTCTTGAGCCTGTGTATCTGGTGGAAATACAAGCACCTGAACAGGCTCTTGGTGGTATTTACAGTGTTCTTAACCAGAAAAGAGGACACGTGTTTGAGGAAATCCAGAGGCCTGGCACCCCACTCTACAATGTCAAAGCATACTTGCCTGTTATTGAGTCATTTAAATTCAATGAATCACTAAGGGCTCAAACTGGAGGACAGGCTTTCCCACAGTTAGTATTCGACCACTGGGATATAGTGCCATCTGATCCACTGGAACCTGGGACTCCTGCTGCTGCACGTGTTGCTGAGATAAGAAGGAAGAAAGGCTTGAGCCAACAAATGATGCCTCTCTCTGAGTTCGAGGACAGGCTTTAATGTGTCAATAAGTTATCTTTGAAACAAAAAACTATAGTTGCCCTTTTTATATTCCTAGATTTTTATATTTCTCATAATGTTACAGTGATATTAGTCATAGGACCCCGTAAGTTTTAATGTAAAAATAATTTTGATAAAATTAATTTGATACTATTAAACATAATTAAATATATATCAAATTTGAAAAAGTCACTAGAGTGACATCGCAATTCTCGAGAAGCTTCAAGAAATTTCCTTCTCTTTCTCAAGAACAGAAAAAAGGGAGTGCCGCTAGGGTTCTCACCCTAGCTGGCCTGCGTGAAGTGCAATGAACAAGGCCGAGAAGCGAGAGAGTTCACTAATATAGCTAAGCAATCAAGAGCCAAATCTTCAGGCCAAAGGAAGGGCAGGAGGATGGACCAGCTGGAAGGTGAAAAGCGGTCAACAGAGGACTTGGCTCGAGTAGATCAAAGTCCAAAGAAGGTGAGAAACTGAATAAAATCTTTCTTGATATTGATTATTTGTGCTGTTATTGCAGGAACAAGAAGAAGATCGCTGCTGATTGGGGAAATTATGGCTTGGTGAAGTGGAAACCTCCTCCGGATAGGTGCCTATAGCTCAACACTGATGGGTCTATGCCCCTATCCCTAGGTTTGGCTAGCTGCGGTGGCTTAATCCATGATACAAATGGAAGATTCATTGCTGGATTCTATAATTCGTTGGACCCCTATCATCTAACTGTTGCTGAACTTTGGGGTTTATATTGGGGTATCTATCTGGTTATTGCCAGAAAGATTCATTTTATTTGTATTGAATGCAATTCCAAAATAGCCATCTCTTTAATTACGAATGTTCAGCATTGTAACCACCCATTTTATTCTGTTATTAGCAAAATCAGATTGCTCATTAGGAATGTTAGGTTTAATTATGTTTCTAGAGAAGTCAACCAATGTGCAGATTGGTTAGTCAAGATAAGGTCTGAGGTTGGTGAGCCTTCTACTGTGTTTAATGAGGCCCCTTCCTCTCTTCTCCCTCTCTTAAGTCTGGATGCTATAGGTACTATGTGACCTAGGCCAGTAGCTTAGTTTGTATTTGTTTGGACTTTAAGCCCCATTTACTAACAAAATAAAATATATATCAAATTTGATCTTAACCACAAACTTTTAACTGAACGTATGTTTTTTATTGAAAAGTTTTTAAATTATTTTTTCAACAGTAAACCAAACAGGCCTGTTTTTCTCTCTCCCCCCCCCCCCCCCCTTTCTTTTTTTCTTTTAATACTATACAGTTTTAAATTTCAAATTTGTATCTTATCTTCCCCTTCGTTGCTTAGATTTAGATTTTGGGAGTGAGTTCTCCCAAACTTGTATGACAAGCACGTTATCAAAAGTTGACTGAAGTTCACCAGAAAAATCTAACTTGAAGCTTTTCGTATAACAACTCAAAGAAAATAAAATCTTAAAGCACGTAGAGCCAGTTTTTACAGAGAACACCTATTTACATCTTCAAACGCAGCAAGTCAACAACAGACAGATGTTGGAAACCCAGCTGCATACCTATTCTGTATAAGGTAACTCTGACTTGGAAATTGCCAAACATCATCAAATCTGCATGTAATCAGCACATGATACTAGTCAACTCTCCTCTGGATCAGATCAACAGATCAATCCCATTTGCTGTCAGAGCAGCTAAATATGTCTTCTATGAATCAAGAGTCAAAATCTTGATATAACCTGCAAATTCATATGCTCTTCTTTAGTTCACAGGATCACTCCTCAAAGCCAAAGTAGCATACAAAAGCAAAGATGAGAATAGGACTGACTGTTAATCACAGATACTGAATGGTCAAAGTAAAAATAATGGTATCTATTCCCTAAAGAGCAGTTCACTAATCTAGGCCTAAAATCAAGGAGAGATGACATGTTATTTTAAAAAGTTAACCCAACAATTACATCATAGATTTGATCCCTAAATTAATGGAAAAAATATCTGCCTTTAGCTGTACATAGAAAACAGAATCGGAAGATTCTGTGTATTCCTAAAAATAATTGATCAGCAACAGTCAACTACCATGAGAGTAGATGATGGCCAGATAATGAAATGTTGCATAGCAGAAAGAACTTGCCTCAGTTATCAGTGGCTTTGCATGTTCTTCCCATTCAGTAGCCCACCTTGCTGAAGAACCAGTTTCTAATGCACCAAATTTGAGGACCTTCAACGCATCACAGTCATCAGGAAATCCCTTGACGAGCATCTGTGTAGATTCAGGGCAGTAAATTAATAGGCTCATTGCTCTAGATTAGACATTTCGAGTATGAAACAGGAGTTTTTAACAGATAATATATCTAAAAATGTAATGCACATTCAAAAAAAGGAGTTGAAGCATGTAATCATTTACAAACTCACCAGAAGTTCATCAGCCAGCTCTGACGATGACGAAAAGAGAAGACCATTTTTGTCAACTTTAACCAGTTCTTTAATGCTTCAAGAAAGAAAAAACCTTGACCCGTAAATGAAAATAACATATTGTTGGAACTTCAGATCAAATCGCAAGCAATTTTCAGAGGAAGTACATAGCTTACCAAGAGTATGAAACAGCACAAACTGGCAGTCCACAGCCAAACATATCAACGACCTGGTAAAGTTAATGCATAAAAAATTTAAAAATAAACTGGAAACTAATCCATGAAATAGTTGTTTTGAAACACTATCAAAAATAAAACATAATCAAATAAATGCATGCTTGTTAATGCTTATATTTGGATAAATAATCATTTATTTTTCAAAACTTCTATCAAGAAGCTAACAAAATAAGCAATCTTCTCTTCAAAATAAGGTAAACCAAATATGTACCAACTACCAATAGTGTTAAAAAAAAACTAAGGGGTTTAGATATCAAAACATTCAAAGCAAAGTTGAAGACATGAAATGAAGAGGAAGAGCTAGTAAATAATATCACACACAAAGAGACATAGGAGACTCAAACCAAATCTAATTTGAACCGCTCCCATGTGCAGAATTAACTGGAAAAAGAAAGCTCAAACAGCTCAAGACATATGAGCAGCCTTAACCCATTCAACAAAAATTAATTAAATTAGCCAGAACATGCACACAAGAGTTAATATAAAACATTCTGTTATGATTTATATGGCATAGAACTAATATCAGCTGAACAGTTGGAGATACATTCTAATGAAGCACATCATTTCAGAATAAAAACAGGTTCTATGAAGATGTTGTGAATTGATTTCAGAAAAATTCTAATATAGGAATACCCAATTAATCAACATAATATATATTACAGTTTGATGCCCAAGAAGCTTGTGAATGCAATGTGGCTAAGTGATACAAAGCAGTCGATTATTCATAGGGAGATTAACAATATAGCGATGAAAAAAAATCGCTAATGACACATCTTTGTACATTGACATATAACAATGGATACCTTCATCGGAAGGTCTAATCCTGACGATGAAGTATGCAGACAAACCCCTAGATCAGCCGATCCTGAAATTACCCATAGCTGTTAAATCAAATAATTAGCTTCAGTGCAAGATGTTATTTAAAACCAAGGAAAAAAACAAAATACCTAGCAGTAGTGGATAATCATCAGCAGACAGCCACATGGTACGGAATGCCACACGTTTAAGTTTCAATCTCTTTATTTTTGCCTCATACTTTTCTTTTTCAGGACCTTTTCCTTTATCAATGAAGATCCCTCATTAGAAAGTTCCATATAAAATATAATTTCCAATACTGAAGGACAAAACACAAATTTTACCAGTAATGATGAATAACAGTCTGGGATATAAAGATTGCTTTCCATCAGATATTTCTTGCCATATGACCCCCTCATCTAGAGAATCATCTTCACCTAATATGGCAGCAACACGTCTGTCATACATTACAGCAGCTTCCAAGAGAATGCCAAAATCTTCATCAGGAGTCCTGAAAGTAGCACAAGTTATAAACAAATCACTCAAGTTTGGTAAGTAGCCCATGAAAGATTATCCCAGTCAACAGAGGTTTCTTCTCACTTTTGATTTTCCTTGTTTGTTTCATTTTTCTAACTGAAGGTCCACCTAACTTAAACTTCATTATGTGCAGAAAAATAAGGAAGTGGCCATTTTTAAAAGCATAAAAAGTAGTATCACACAAAGGTTTACAATGAAGAAAATACTGGAAACTACAACATGCATGCATGCCATTTTAATGCTACCAAAGGATGCAATTCATAACATGATAAACTTACCAGCTTGTACTGCTTACAACAAGTGCTGGTCGGTTTGGCTTCAAATATATGTTTGAACCAACTTCGGTAGTAAACAGAGTCTCGTTTTGGCAATCGCTAGCCATCAACAAACTTCCTGTAAGAAGCACGGACATTAACAAATAATGTGTGCCAATGACTACGATCAATATATATACAAATTGTTAAACCTATCTTACCATTACTAACACAATCTCTGAGACCAAGAGGCTGAAAAAAGTCCTCATTTAATCTGCAAAACAACTATAAGCTATCTACATTATATATGAAAATCTTCGAGAATGCTTGAGAAGTAATAATAACTAAGATACTAGACAACTAAACAATTAGATCACCTTATGCCTCTCCTCCAGTGAAGCTGGATGAAAGATGTCAGGAGGCTGATCATACAAAACCGTAGCACTATAAAATTAAGAATAAACATCATATTACTTCACAAATCACAGAAACAATTTTATGTTAAAGATTAAATTTGAACTTTGAGCTGACTCTCTTACTTAATTCCCCAGTTTTGAGCCAATTCATGCTGCATTGCTTTTGTTACACATAGAGAAGCATCTGCCATTTTTCCATAATGCTTTTCAAACCTAATCAGAGCCAAGAAAAATAATCATATTAGCAGCAACCTTGAAGAAGCAAAGCCAGTACAGGAAAAATGGAAAATCGTCATCAGCAAATGTAAAATGTTAAAAATGCTAAACTAGTACCATTTATATAAAGAGACAAAATGACTATTTCTTCCTAACGACAGAGCGAGTAGAGTATATCCAAAATTATGCCAATCCATAACAAAAGATGAATTCCTCAACCAGCTAGCCCATTTTACTGCCACCAGGGTTGGAACTGAAGGAGGATTCTGCACAAACAAAGGAATGATATAAATGAAGCAAAAAAATATGTAAACCTCTGGTCATTTAGCTTAATATATCAATGAATCATTACACAGTTAACCTAACCAGAGATTAGTTAATAAATTATCCTTCAAAATGTAGAGTACGTAACATCATCTATGCAAGAGACCAAAGTTAGGCAATACAGACAGAATTTCTTGAGTATCCCAAATTGACCAAACACAACCTACTTGGCAAAGATAGTTTTATTATTTAATTGGCTTTAGGGATGCTTCTCAAACAAAGGCTAAGGTCGAAAACAACTGTCAGTTTTTCAAGTACAAGTTTGACAACATTAAGTCTAACTTAGGAAGAACAAATAGCATTGAGTCTACTATGTATACCAAAAAATAAGTTTGAATCTTGGGGGAGAAAAATAGGAAGATGTAAAAGGCTAACCTGGACAATAAAAATATCAGGAGATGATACTTTTACACAAAGGAACCAAAGAAGCATTAAAAATTGAACCAGGGGCTTCAACAAAAGCATTATCGGTTGAAGTATCCTTGGTAAGCTTTGACGGGCTGGTGGCCACTGCTTCTGAAAATTTGAGAAAGTTCTAAGTTCTAACACTATGTCAACTTTAGTAAAAAGATAACTTGTCCCAAAAAGTTTAGTCTGCATTCATACCATTAGATAAATATGAATAGATGGGTTGGCAAGAAGAGCAGTATGGGGCTCTGAACCTGTTAGAACTTAGAAATTGTTATTAAATAATGAGAAAATTTACACATGCTGCACTTGAAATTTAGTAACTAACTCCATGAAGTATGGTACTAATAAATTTTAACCTAACTCTAATGATTCATTATAAACAATTTGAAATCAGAAAAGGTACCTCCATATGCAACAATGTCTACCTCCAGGAAAGCCTGCAATGTCCCACGATAAAGCCCGTAGATCAATGAACAGTACAGATAAAAGTGTTGGAAATATTTAAACATTACAAGGAACTCATAAATCAGGATTAAATAGTGTGAAAATAAATAATCCTCATGCCTACACATGAAATGGCCATTTAAGTTGGATAATCAAAGGGGATAACAGAGAAGCCAAAACCAGCTCATTAGAGGAGATAACATCATATAAATAAAATTGAAATTACAGAATGGGAAATTCTTTGGCAGTTGGGACAAAAGCTATGCGCAGTTGAGGAAACTCCAAAACAAAATTACGTGAAGTATGAACATACATCAATACTGCATGGCTAAACCAACTAGGTTTCAAAATGAGCATCAACAGGGTCTCAAAAGCTAAGAAGCATGGATACAACATGGGACACGGATACAATATGACAGAGACACGGGAATACAACAAATTTCAACAAATTATAGGACACGACAAGCTATAATACAATACATAAAGTTAGTAAAAAATAATGTAAAAACACAAATCTTAAAGCAAAAGAAAATTTTGATTTTGGCATGATTCATTTTAGACATGATAAAATGATATCATTTATACAACTATTACTGTATTCTCATCTCTATCAAGGTAAAATTTAAAAAAAAAATTTAAATTTTGCAAAATATTAGTTAGTGTCTAACATAAATTCGTATACGACATGAAAACAGTAGTATTGGTGCTTCCTAGCTTAGAAATATCTAACAGCAACAACTACCATGTCAGGTGCTCTCAGTAAAAACTTGTAACACACAACCTTAGCAAGTCAACATTAAAATTTTAAGAATCATGCTCATAAAAAAAGAACAAATATTATACCCAGTGCAGAACCCAGCCATCAGAATTTTGGTAAAATCCTACTCCCAAAAGCTAAAAGTCAATAGCATTCGCAGTTCTTCCCCAATTAAAACTTAGAACAGACGAATTACTCAGAAGCCAATACTACTTTTTCAGTGATCCAGGTCCTTGCAAAATTACAAAGAACTCAAAGGAGACACATGAATTCAGACAATCAAACCAAATGGAAAAAGAAAAAGAAAATAATCATATAAAATTAAACTAAATTGAATTATTACACGAAATTATAGAAAAGAAGAAAAACCTGATTGGCGAGTGAAAGAGCATGGTACTGCATTCGAGGGCTGCGTCCAATGTCGCCCAAAACCACAACGCACGCCCTTCCCTTCTTTTCTTTGCTTTTCCGTTCTATTTTCAAATTTCCAAGTCAAAATCGAAAACTCGCCAAACAATTCAGGAAAATCCCCAATCTTCTTCAATCGAAAATCCATTTTCTCTGGAAATACGAATAGGAAAACGATAAAATTACACTCACCTGCCATTTCCTGTGTCAATAACAAAATTAAAATCTCGTAGGTGGTAGTGACAGAGAGTCGAGGAGCAACGTAGAATAGAAGAAGAAGAGAGCCCGACCCGGAATTCGGGTTACAAAACCCGATCCATGAAATGCTGTTTGATCCAATTTAAATTCGGGTCGGGTCTACGGCAAATTTTTCTGGGCTTTTCGGAAAATGTGTTCACAACCTTGTGGGGCTTTTGTATGGGCTATTTGGGCCCGTTGTTCTGTATCTTTGACGACCGAAAAACAAAGAAGAGTATATAAGGATTGAATTTGAGAATAAAAAAAGCATACATGATGGAGCAAAGAGAGAATCAAACTCCACAAGGTTTGAAGTTCACCAATCAAAGTTTTTATCTTTATTCATTATTGTATATAACATAGTTGGGAGTAACTACGATTCTGTGTGAAAGTTTGCAGGCCAAACAGCTAAGGTTTTGGTTGAATTTATGGAGGTGGCTATAACTGCTGTAGTTTTTCTCAAAGGGATTTATCCTTCTGGTTTGTTCTTGCACACCCATTAACCTTCATTTCCCCCCCGTTTTTTTCTGTTTGGTTGCTGGCAAAAATGAAAAAGCAATGATTTTAACTGCACAATGCACTTTTGTGTTTTTTCTTCCTTGATTTTGTGGTTATTGGCAACTGAACAGTGTAATTGATTGAAATTAATTTTGATTAGTTGTGTCCTGGGTGTGGAAAAAGGTGCCTTTGACAGGAGAAGGTATATGAATGTGGTGGTTCAAAGGGCTCGCCATCCTCAGCTTAGATATTACATACATGCCACTGTTTCAGGGTTGCTACCCTTTATACAAAAGGTCGGTCTTGTTTGCAAATTTGATTTTTATTTTATTTTATTTTATTTTGCTTTATATACTTAACCTTGTATGAGTAGTTTATGATTGCTTGCTTTGGAATTAAATAATCAAATATAGGTTGCTTCAAATATTATGTAGAATCCAGAAATGATTCCAATGAGTGTTTCTTGGGCCTGTAAATGGCAGTGTGATATTGTTTCTTTGTAGCAAAAATAGAATAAAATCCATTAGTAGTGTTAGAGGGTTAGGACTTGTGAATTATAATAGCTTCTGAGTAATTTGGAGGTTCAGACATTGAGCTTCTTTGACCCCAATTTGCCTACCTAAGAATGAAGTCTTAACTTAGAAGTAAACATTAGTGCTTTGCTATATAAGCTGACCATTCAATACGTCAACTTAACTTAGCCATCCCCAACTTAACTACAACACCTAATCCAGGCATAGAGAAGATCACACTTGTTGGGTTGGATTTCAAATACCAACACACCAAATTCCTTTGGTGCAATTAATGTGATCAAGCTTTTTCTTAAACTCATTTAAGGTCCAGTTTTGAGTTATCCTTTTTTTTTCTCTTAAATCTTAATGCATATATCTGTGTGTGAGAGAGAGCTTTGTTGAACACATAATCTTGAGACATTACAATATATTGCTGTCAATCTGTTGTTCAAGAGGTGCACTCTATATCCGGAGACTGATCCCACCAATTCTCTTAATTGGTTATGAACTTATAATTTCCCTTGATGTTGCTATTGTTGAATGAAAAATGAAGACATTTGATTCAATCAAGGCATTTCCTTTCTTTTTGCCTCTGAAATTATGAATTTATGAAAATGTAATTAGAAATCATGTGTAATGTTGTAGCTAATAGCTTACAACATACACTTAATTTAAGAGCTTAAAATATTTGCTTTTTTGCTTGCAATTTATAACATGACTGTTCAGTTAATGGACAATATGTTTATTTATATAAGAAAGGTTATGATAAATTAAGCCTCTTCGCGGAGGTGTAGAGCGGCAGGGTGCCACTATCTCATCATCGTTGCATTTCACTATAGTGATTGTTGCACTGTGAATTGTGGCCAAGAATAGAGCAAATCACGGCCGCTATTTCATCCTAAGTCAAATCTCTCCCAATTTGAATGGGTTGGGTCTAAGCCAATTGGACCCCCATTAAAGACATGTCAAAGGAGGGGTAAAATGGGAAAGGTAAGTAAGGAAGCCGTTATGCAAGACTCTAACAAACTAACAAATTAGCATACGTGGCAAGGAGAAAAGAGAGGAAAGATGCAGCTGAGAAGAGGGGATATATGGAGGATGGACAGAGGGCAGAAGGCAGGAATTATCAAGGATGCTATTCGGGGTGGCTGTTGCCATAGGAGGAGTTTCATTCTTTAACCACTGGTTTTCTTCCTATTATCCATTGCTAATTGCTTGTACTACTAGGGTTATTCCCTGCGTTTGTTCTTTTAATTCAATAATATAATCAATTCCTATCAAGCTGGTATCAGAGCTCCCGATCCTGGGAGCGCCAGAGCTCCCGATCCTGGGAGCGCCTGATGGTATCCACACGAATGGAGAATCGATTGGAGAACGTCGAGCGTTGATTGGAGGGCATGCAAGCCTCCATTCAGGAGGAATTTCGGAGGCAAATGGATGAGATGTTGACGATGATGACAGCGAGGTTTGAGACAGCTTTACAAGTAGTCCGAACGGAAATGAAAGGAGAGAATAGTAATCAAGAAGGAGGAAATGGTGAGGGCTGGAGAAGGGAGGAACGAGTGAGGCGAGTCGAGGTACCCTACTTTGCTGGAGAGGACCCCTACGGGTGGGTGTACAGAACAGAAAGGTACTTCGAGATAAACAACATCCCCGAAGCAGAAAAGGTGGACACCGCAGTAGTGTGCTTGGAGGGAAAAGCACTCAATTGGTATCATTTGTGGGAACCAAGAGTTCTGACGTCCACGTGGCCCATTTTTCAGCAAGCATTATTGGGTCGTTTCTAGTTGTCGTTGTCGGAGAACCCTTACGAAGCTCTAATGGGGTTAAGGCAGAGGGGAACAAAGATTGAATACAGAGGGCAGTTCAACTTATTCTCTGCCCCACTGCGTTTTGCCGACGAGGAATTTATGATAAGGGCATTCCTCAATGGCCTGAAGAAGGAAATCAAGGCTAAGGTGAGGTTGCGGGACTCCAAAGACTTAAGCACGATTATGGAGTTGGCGTAGAAGGTAGAAGAGAAGAACAGGGTGTTGGGCCTTTCTTATGGGCCTTCAGTTAAGAGAAGCAGGTCAACGGGTCCCAAGCTACATTGGGCCTTAAGAGGAGGGGCCCAAGAAATGACAAAAATAAACTGGGCAGGAAGAGGGGAGCCCAACTCACCCTTGGAGTTTCGAGTCCTAGCTCGCATTAATAGAGGTTGAATCGAGGCCCAAGGGAACCGCAATAGCTCACGTGATCCTTTCATGCCTTCAAGCTCAAATCGCAGAGGCCTAGGGTTCAAGCAGCTGACCGAAGAGGAGGAAAATGAAAAAAGAAGGAGAGGCCTTTGCTTCCGCTGTGACGGAAGGTTTACCCCTGGCCATGTTTGCCGCAACAAGCAGCTACACGTGGTCTTGTTGGGAGAAGAGGAGGCGAACCAGGGTAGAGTTTCCATGGAGGAAGACAAGGAGGAAGTGAACCTCTAGCTGAACGCGAGCAGTATTGCGGGGATGACCTCCAAGAATTCATTGAAGTTGTGGGGAACCATTTGGGGCAAGAAAGTGATTGTAATGGTGGATTCTGGCGCATCCTGTTATTTCTTATCTCCGTGACTGGTGGAGGAGCTGAACATATAAACAGAAGCTACAAGAGGGTACTTTGTCGAGGTAGGGGATAGGTAGAGGTTGGGAAGTCATGGGGTTTATAAGGGGGTCGTGTTGGAACTATCCAACTTACAAGTAATGCAAGACTTTTTTATGTTTGACTTGGTAGGCGTGGATGTGATTCTAGGGTACAAGTGGCTCAAAAGTCTAGGGAAGCTCAGTGTTGATCTGCGATAGCACTTGATTGAAGTGCAAAAGGATGGAAGGATTATTGAAATAAAGGGGGATGTGGGGTTGTCCAAAACTGTGGCTTCATTAAAGGCAATAAGGAAGGAGCTGCAGGGTGAAGTAGAAGCTTACTGTGTGGAGTTGGGCATGCTGACTATGAAGGACTTATTACGAGAGTTTGGTGAGCTATTCAAGGAAAGGACTTCCCTACCACGGCAGAGGGAGTGTGACCATGCCATTGTTTTGAAGGAAAGAGCTACAATTCCTAACATTCGCCCATATTGACAATCACATTGACACAAAGAAGAGATTGAAAAATTTGTGAGGGATATATTGGTAGTAGGAATGATCAGGTTGAGTACCAGTCCCTAATCTAGCCCGCTGATTCTAGTTAAGAAGAAAGACGGTAGCTGACATTTCTGTGTGGATTATCGCGCTCTTAATAGCATCACCATTCCAAACAAATTTTCAATTCCAGTCATTGAAGAACTATTGGATGAGTTAAGGGGGGCAACCATCTTTTCAAAACTCGATTTGAAATTCATCTACCACCGAATACGTACGAGGCCAGAGGACATCCCTAAAACCGCCTTCCTAACACACGAAGGGCACTACGAGTATGTGGTAATGTCGTTTAGGTTAACCATTGCTCCCTCAACCTTTCAAATGCTAATGAATTAGATTTTTAAACCTTATTTACGTAAATTTGTACTAGTGTTTTTTGATGACATTCTAGTGTACAACGCATGTTAGAATCTATTAGAATTTTGTAAATATAGTAAATGTATATTTTGTAATTATATACTCTTCTCTATAAATTAGAATAACTCCATTGTGCCTTAAACATACGGATTCAATATTTTCTCTCTCAACATGGTATCTAGAGCTTAGAGAGGCCACCCTAATTCGTTTTTTCTTCCGATGGACCACTGTTCACTGGTGCCCTTTTTTTCTTGCGTTGGCACTGTTCTGCTGCTGCCGCCGTTCGACCTCAGATCACTACGGAAACCCTGCCGTTGTGGTCGCCCTTGTCAGATCGGCCAAACCCCGCTAACCTTGCCTTCATCGAAGCCCTCACGTACCCCACGTGTGGCCCTCTCCTCAATTGGTTTTCTCACATGCCACCTTCTCTCTTCGTGCGTTTGGCATCTTTTCTTGATGCTGTCGACTGGAGTTTGCTCGCCCCTCTCTCCTCTACCTGTATCTGGTCTCGATTAGCTGTTTGGACTTTTATTTGCCCTTGTTTTGCCCTTTTTCGCTGTTGTTTGGGTATTTTCTCTCTCTTCTCGCTGACTAATGGCTGCCTCTAGCACTCCAAAAGTTGACACCCATATTTTTACCAACCATGTCACTGCACCTCTCTCTGAACAGTTGGACAGTAAGCACTACTCCTCCTCGGCTTCTCACATTGAACTTTGGCTTGTTGAACAGGGTTATGAGACACATATCACCCAAATAGTAGACGATGTCCCGGAGGCCGACTGTCCTCTGTGGAAAAAGGTTGACGCTCAGCTGTGCTGTATCATCCGAGCCACCATTCACCCATCTCTTCTGATGCTTTTCGCACTCACAAAACCTACAAAGCTTTTTGGACACAAGCCCAACAACTCTTTACAAACAATTCTCGGTGACTCTACCAAGTTTGTGAAGATCTCATGACTGTCCTTAGTGCCCATTAGATTAAGGATTCTATGTCGACTTATCTTGGCTCGGTATCTAGCCTTCTTTGTGAGTTCAATGAATTGTTTCCTCCTGCTGTCAATCCAGATGCAGAACTTGACAATCGCAAGAAGTTTTTCATGTCCTTGACTCTATAAGGTCTACCTCCAGAATATTCTCATGTTCGTGATCAGATCCTGGGGAGCCTCACAGAAGCTACTATGGACAGTATCTGGGCGACCCTCCTCTATGTGACCCCCAAATCCTCCTCTGAGCCTTTGCTTCCCACTCCTATTGACTCTTTGGCTTTAG